TCACTAAAGGAGTCAAAAAGCACTCCAAGGTAAGTGGATTTGGGGGGGAAAGGTGGTTTAATCCTCGCTAATGAGATGATTATTCTTCCTAAATCCTGACGAGTTTGCTGTCCTTTTTCCTTTGCAGTTTCCAAACAAGCTGCTTCTCCTGGCCATGTTCTCTACATGTATAGGAGGAACCTTTCAGTGTGGATATAACATCTCTGTAATCAACGCACCTACTAAGGTAGAAACTAGAAGTACGGTTCAGACTGTGAGGTTGGGTTCATTCAGATGGGACTTTAATAAACCCGGGTTTTAAATAAATCGGTGTTATTTGTCCACATTTGCCCCATGATTCTGATTGGTGGCCAGGTCATTGCGCATGCTTGATCCCTGCTGGGTCAAACACAGGATTCAGTGTAATTTACCACAATCCTGATAATCTGTGGTTTTTATGGCTGCATGACTGAACCAGAACAAACTGGAACAGCTCCATGTGTGTATGGGAATCCCCCTGAAGGTGTCATCCTGGGAACAAAAGGTGCTTTCAGGAAAAATAAGACTAAAAATGAAGTAAAAGTAATTTTGTTTTTTCTAATAACCTTTTTAATGTCTGTAGTATTAACTGAGCAACATGCCTGAAAAAAAGCCAGTTTGTTGTCATGTTTGACAAAATCCATGATCAAAATACAATCATGCAGTATTTCTTTTAATTTATGGGCTATTTTTTTATTTCTAAAATATATTGCCTACAATCAGCAGTTTGAGTCTATTTTTGAATCTTTTAAGTATTATTGTGTGATGTTTTCTTGTATTTTACTCTTTATTTTTATTCTTTATCTTTTACTCTCCTATTCTCTCACACGTGACTCTAATTTCTAGCCTATCTAGACGAACTGCAGCAGAAGCAAAATGATTTTGCTTTTCTGGTCACATATAGGAGGACTTGCCAGGTTATGTAAATGCTAAACCAAAATTTCCCCACCGAGCAAAATAAAGAGGTTTTCTACTCTATTCTATTAACTTTAATTATATTATGAAACTTATTTGCCAAAATAAATAAGTAAATGCAAAAGAGAATAATTTTCACAGCCTTTTTCTTGCAGAGTTTATTGACAGCAGTTTAGTTCTTTTACACAAACGTTGAGAAGAAAGTCATGGTCCATGAATCTATCATTCCCGTGTGTCATTACTTTGTGTTTGCAGAGCCAACAGCTAACCTGTTGCACCTTTTTAGGGTGGCCTTTTTTGTAACTTTAACTCTTCAGTCGATTGTAGTTGTAATGCTTAATGTCATGAATTGTTCATTATTTTGCCTTTAAACCTTAAATAACAGGAAGTTGGTATCAATGGAGCATATTTAGGCATTATCTGCTTATATGTGTGACATTTAATCTGAAATACATTTATATAAGTAAGAATAAAACTGTATTTATGTTTCTTTCTTTTTACTTTCTCCACAGTACGTACAAGACTTCATCAACAGCACCTGGATGCAGCGTTACCAGAGCAACATATCAGAGAATGGCCTGACTCTGCTCTGGTCCACTATTGTGTCCATTTTCACTTTAGGAGGACTTGTAGGAGTTTCAATCGGAAGCACGTTGTCTGTGAAGCTGGGGCGGTACGGAGGAATGATGTCATAGATGATAAACTTTTGTTGTCTGCAACAAAGATTTGACACGTCCTGTTTTCAGGAGAGGGACGCTGCTGACAAATAACTGCTTTTCAGTGATGGCTGCTCTGCTGATGGGTCTGAGCGCCTTCGCTGGATCATTTGAGTTACTCATCATCGGGCGTCTTCTCTGTGGGATAAATGCAGGTGAACGTTGATGTTTACTAACTCTAACTCAAAGATAAATATGATGGGCATGTACTTGCCGAAACGTTGAGAAGAGAAAGCTAACATGAAGAATTGTTATTTAAAAATGAGAAAGAAAATAAAAGATTTCTCTCCCTGATGTAAGTTATAAAACAAATAAACGTGAGGGAAACTAAAGCAATTTATCCCCAAAAAAGGTAAGAATTGAGTCATGGCATCAAAGATAATCCAAAGGGGTTCTGCAAATGATGAGTAAAGCAGTAGCAGCTTTAAAGATGTTGATCATAAGGTGTAAAGTTTATTAGTTGAAAAAACCCAAATAACAGTTTAACACTGTCTGATGTTTTTGTGACTAAGGCTGTTTTACATTTGCTGGTATTTGACATTCTCTGCAGATAAATAAGTATTATTAAGCATTGTTGCATTTTGAGATTTTTAATAAACTTCTCATGAATAAAAGCACGTAGTTGATATTTCAAGCAGATATTTTGCTGCTTTCATATCTATCCTGAGCTTCTGCTGTTAATATAACATAAAAAATCAAATGTCAATAAACATTTAACAGTTTTTTGTATATGAGATCCAACTTTTCAACCTGAAATGATCCACCTGATTAGAAGAGAAATTGTGTTTTCCTTTAAACACCACACAAAGCTTCTGAAAGTTGCTGTTTTGCTTGTATCTGCAGGTGTTGCTCTGTGTGTTGAGCCCATGTATTTGGGGGAAATCGCACCAACTGCATTACGAGGAGCCATGGGAATGGGAACCTCCATCTTTCTGACTGTTGGGATCGTCTCTGGACAAGTGATGGGCCTTGAGTAAAAGCTGAGCACTACATGTTTATCTGTTGATGAACTAATCAATAAATTTTACTAAAGCAGAAATGTTGATCTTCTTGCGAATATACAGAGAAATCCTGGGTAGAGAAGAGTACTGGCCCTTCCTGCTCGCCACCACATGCATCCCTGCATTTCTGCAGCTCCTGTTCCTGCCCTGGTTCCCAGAAAGCCCACGCTATCTGTTCATCGACAGAGGAAATGACGAAGGATGTAGAAAAGGTAAAGTTTTTATTGCAACTGCTGCTGCTGCCAATTCACAATCAGTGGTCTTTGTGTGCGGTAGAGAATGACGCAAAAGCACAGCTCGAAAGGTTAAACATCCTTCAGTCAGCTCAGACATGTGACCTCCTGATTATTTTGCAACAACTTGAAAAGGAAGTGGTTTGATGCTTGAAAACCTCCGGGTTCTGAAATATTAACTCAGCCTGTGGTAGTTTGGTCATGTGGGTCTTTTCTTCTTCCTGTATGCAGCTCTGGTTCAGCTGCACGGTTTAGCAGGATCCGAAGGTGCGCTGAAGGATATCCAGGCAGAGAAGAATAATTTGGTTGGTTTCAAGGCCAGGAAGCCCTGGGAGCTTTTGGCTGATCGTAGCGTGCGCTGGCAGGTCATCACCATCATTCTGCTCAACGCCGCTCAACAGCTGAACGGCGTGAACGCTGTACGTCGAAGTTCCCCCAAGCAGTGACTCAGCAAACACACCGATCACTCCTAGTCCCTCTTCCTGTTTCTAACTCTTGTTCCTTTGTTGACCATAGATGTACTTCTACACACAGTATGTCTTCCAACAGTCTGGTATTCCCACAGATAAAATACCATATGCAACCGTCGGAACGGGTGCCTGTGAATGTCTCACCGCTTTAACGTGTGTAAGCATCACTTCTTCATTACTACGGCACAAATGTGACAAGTGTAAATAAATACAGATGTTAAACATGTGAGAGAATAGGGAACGAAGCATGGGGGACTTTGGGGAATGCACCTGTCTGATCACATGACCTGCTCTGTCTCTCAGGGTTTACTTGTTGAGTGTCTTGGAAGGAAAGTGCTGATTGCAGGAGGATATATACTGATGAGTGTGTGCTGTATTTTATTCACTCTGACACTCGCTCTGCAGGTAACTCATCTGTAAACCAAACGGTCGAGCTCTTAAGTTTTAAAGAGTTTTTAAACATTTTCTGCCTTCATTTCCTCTCTTTCAGCATGTCAGCCCAGTTTTTCCATACCTGAGCGTCGCCTGTGTTTTTGCTTTCGTCTTGAGCTTTGGCTTAGGGCCAGGTATGTCACTGCTAAATAGAAAATCTGAATTCTTATATTTTGATATTTTCATTCCTTTTTTCCGTGAAGGGGGGGTGACCAACATCTTAACCACGGAGCTGTTCACTCAAACCTCTCGTCCTGCTGCTTTCATGATCGCAGGATCGGTCAACTGGCTCAGCTTCTTCTTCATCGGCTTAGTCTTTCCTTTCATTGTGGTCAGTTTTCACACCATGTTTATTTCATTTGATTGGTTTTTGATTAAAAACATACAAGGAATCAGTTATTTTTTTTAAAGGAGACATATTATGACTTTTAAGTCACAATAGACATGGTGAATACTTTGCACTAAGTCACGCTCAGACAAAGTAATTCCAGCAGTTATGAAGCCCTTCCACAGCAGCGCCGGCTCCACTCTGCCCAAGCCTGGCCCGGTTGGTCATACACAGTCTTAGGAATGCAGATGTGACTGAGCATATGGGTGGCCTCCAAAATTGGTGCAAAGATATCAGTGATGTCATAAGTGCATCTCTAAGCATGTGGGTGGAGCTAAAGATGTGCAGAGAAGTCTGTGGTGTCTCCCTTAAACTAAACAAAGGCAGCAGTGAGCAGTGTTGCTGTTGGAGACTCTGATATTGCATCCAGACTGCAGTGTCTGTCCTGGAACAGCTGAAGCTGGCAAGCTGTGTGTGTGTGTGTGTGTGTGTGTGTGTGTGTGTGTGTGTGTGTGTGTGTGTGTGTGTGTGTGTGTGTGTGTTCTCAGAGAGAGCTAGAGATGGTTTCAGTCAGAGGTGTTGTTTACCTCAGTATCCAGAATGATAATGAATCGCAAGAAGCCCCCGCTGGCTGATTCTATCCGCCAATGAGAGCCCCCCCCCCACACACACACAATGGCAGGTGTGAATTTGACCCAGTTAATCACTCAGCAGTGGGTATGTTGGGCCAGTTCAGCCCAAAGCAGATGCCTTGGGAGGAGGGCTGGAAAAACGACCAGTTCCAGGATACCCAGATTTCTTTCATTTCATTTCTTTATTTATTTAATAGGGACAGTGCATATTAATGAACTTCAACAGTAAATTGCATCGGTAAATATGCCAGATTGTAGCACCAGTGCTAATTTACATCTGCAGTAGGCAGGTAATAAAAACAATAAAAAGAAAGTAAAGTATTATATTTAATACTAGGAAACTAGGAAAAACAGAAAGAAAACACACAAAACACCACTGTGAGGATGTCAGACGTGCTGGAGTGCGAAGCGGAGGTAAGGATCCAAACACGGGTGAAGAAGGCAGGCAGGCAGACAGACAGACAGGAACGGTTAAAGGCTTTAATATATAACACGCTGACACAGAAACAATGATCCAACACGAGACACAAAACAGAAGGGGTTTAAATACAGACGGGCTGGGAGCTTGGGTGATTGGGAAACGAGGGGCAGGTGGGAGCAATTAACAGAGACACGGGACTAAACCAAAAGGGGAGACAGGACAGGGTGTGACAGAGGACAAATTACTGATGGATGCAGGTTTGGTTTTCCTTCAACCATTGTTTAAGTTTGAATTTGAAGGAACTGTATGATTGTGGGTCTCATGTGCTGAGTGGTAGACTATTCCAATATTTAGTCCCCTTAACGGATAGTGTGGTCTTGCCAAAAGCAGTGCACCTGTAAGACCCTCACAGTCTCCTCTATCTGTATCCCTGGCCGACATTCCACTGATAGACCGTGATTTAATAAAATCTGTCAGGGGGAAAGGGGCTAGTCCATGTAAAACCTTAAAAACCAGGCAAGCATTCTTGAAGGTAACAAAGTTACTAAGATTAAGAAGTCTATATTTATCTAAAACAAAGCAGTGGTGGAAACTAAAAGATTTTTATCAAGGATTTTTCTGGTTTTTTTTAATGAGATGCAAACACTCTTTACCCAGTCCCGGTGGAGTAGAGCCGGTGCTAGTGTGGAAGCCATTTTATTCTTGACAGTTTCAGTACCATCCAGAATGAGCTGTTTTAGGACTCTGTCCCTTTATGAAAACAAGCTGGAGCTGGCCACGCCCACCCAACCCAGCTCAGTCTGCTATAAGCTGAGAAGCTCCAATATCTGGGAGGGGCTAGGAGTGGAGCCGCTGCCCCTCCAGCAGCAGCTCTCTCATGTGCATGACTGGTGGTTCTATTCTAATGTCCTTGTTTGTGACATCGCAATTGGCCACATTTTGAAAATGGCTTGTTTTAGACACAAATTCCTAAAATAAAACATTGACAGAAAAACAGATGGACATATTTTTTTCACATTTAAAGTGTTTGTGGAAACATAGCAGCATAAAAATATGCAAAAAAAGGTGAATTTTGCATAATATGTCCCCTTTAAAGTTTATTAATACAGGTGATATTGTTGAACATCAATACAACAAAAAGAGACTTTTTTCATTTATTCAAAAAAAGCTTTTTGGGTAAGTTGCTGTAGCATTGATCTTTAATAAAATTGACTTAAAATTACGTTTACCTTCACGTTTATTCTGTTTTTCCAGATCGGCCTGCAGCACTACTGTTTCCTGGTGTTCTTTGTCGTCTGCTCCACGGTGGCGATATACATTTTGGCTGCTATACCTGAAACTAAGAACAAAAGCTTTTTGGAAATCCAAAATGAGTTCCAGTCATCCAAGAAGAAGACAGATGTCCTTCCCGATGAAGCAGAAGCTCTGCTTGTATCAACAAGTTTATAAAATGCATCGGACTCAAGAGTGAGGCTAAAAAAGTCTTAAAAAGACTTACAGTCCACACACTACACATCATCAACGTCATATAATAAAGTATTATTTATTTATTCTAAGACGGTTGTCAGGATGGATCTTAACCATGTGAATTATTTTCTTTAGTTCACCTAAAAGCAAGAACTGGGCTGATTTATATTTATATGTAGAAATAGTGTGAAATTAGGGTTTTATAAAGGGTGCTCCATTTAGACCAAATAAAAATTAGTCAATAGAATTATTGTGAACTTTTTGTGCCACCAAGACTGCTTGAGGCTCAGCTTTCTAATCCTTGAGGGAGCATGTGATGTGACGAACAAAGCATTCACTCAAATGCCTGCAGTAACAGAAATATTAAAATTAAAGCAAATATTTAAAACGTAGTTCTATTTGACATTATCTGATACAACTTCTGATTGCATTTTTTCACAACGAATCTGATTGTCTGTGCAAAGTTTCTAAGATTTTAAATTCGCTAGCGTCTCCTGAGTGTCTTTGTAAGCTTTTCTTGATCCTAAATGTGTTTGATTTCACCCAGAATATACTTCAGAAAATGAAAGACTGCCTGGAATGCGCTCAGAGGTTCAAACAAGTAAAAGAGGCCCGGCAAAAATTTTCTTACAGGTCATAAGTTGGCAAATTCCTTGACTGCTTTAATAAGCTTAACTTGGGAAAAAAATGTCTGTCTAACAGGATGTTTTGATAGTTTCTTTTTAACATGTGTGGAGGCTGGAGCACAAATAACTGGAAAGATAATCATGAGATTCATGGGAATAGAAGTGGGAGTCGTTTGGCACCTGACTGAATTAATACGCTTCATTCAGCAGAAAGAATAGAAGGCAGTCAGGAGTTTTATGGTGCTTCTGATTTTAGGCAACAAACTGTTGTATCAGGAAAACAGAAACATCGTTGTCTGTTCAACCCACAGTGTTCCTAAAAATAAACAAAAGAAAATTAAACCAACAGAACAAAACTTTTTTCTTGTTGTCTGTGTTTTCTTAATAAACCACCAAAAAGTGCATTCATCCATTTTCAGTTTAGTTATCCTCGGGACTCGGGTTTGCATGAACCCCTCAGCCATTTTTGGGCTCCTGGTTGATATCGACTTGACAAATCCCACCTTCTGGGAAGTTTGTTTGCATGTGGGGCCCCTTGGTAAATTATTACAGGTCACTGAATGCTGTGCCAATTTAATATGCCCCCCCCCCCCCCCCTTTTTTTAAGGTATTGTTTGTTGTGTGTGTGTGTGTGTGTGTGTGTGTGTGTGTGTGTGTGTGTGTGTGTGTGTGTGTGTGTGTGTGTGTGTGTGTGTGTGCGCGCGTGCGTGCGTGCGTGCGTGTGTGTGTGTGTGTGTGTGTGTTTGTGTGTGTAGGGTGTGTGTGTGTGTGGGGGGGGGGGTGAAAGAAACTGATTGTATAATGAAGGGTGTTTTTGTTTCCTTCACATTTAACATATAAAATAAAAAAATTATATTTGTTTAGATCCTAGATGAAAAATTAAGTAGAGCTAATATGATCATGCAAGGTGATTTATTGTCAAATAGCTTTTTGTAACATGAGCAAATCGAGGTTTAGTCACACCAACATGAATGAGACCATTTATAGTTTTTGAAGGTGGTCCTAATTAATATTCCTAAAGGTTTTCAGAGAACTTTCAGAGTATTAATTTGGACCTAAGTACTTTTTAAATATGATTCATTTCAGATACTGTTCATCTGATACATAAACAATTCCTCAGGCCTGACAGTTGTTTGTCTTCTTCTTTGTCATATTTGTATTATTATTATTATTATTATTATTATAATATTTTTTGTATATTTGTATGCTTTCACTGAAGTGCCAGAATCAATCCATGCTTCTAAGGCAGTTTCAGGGTTAGTTTATGGAAAGCGTCCTTCTGATGATGTGGGCACTTCCGAGAAGAACAATCTTCTGGATTTCTTGGACTGTTGGGTTTCCAGGAATCTGTTTTGTTCTCTTTTCCAGTCCCTTCTTGATGAGGCCAAGTGCACCCACTACGACGGGTATTGTTGTTGTCTTCATCCCCCACATTCTTGTGACTTCTATTTCCAGGTCCTTGTACTTTGATAGCTTTTCAAGCTCCTTGGTGGTGACATTTTTTTCAGATGGGATGGTCATATCAATCATGAGGCAGGTCTTCTCTTCTTTGTTTTTGATGACTATGTCTGGTCTGTTGGCCATGATTTCTTTGTCTGTGTTGATTGGCATGTCCCACAACACTGCGATGTTGTTGTTTTCAGTCACTGTTGGTGGTTGGTGTTCATACCACTTATCTGCAGCTGGTAGATGGAAATGTTTGCAAATCTTCCAGTGGATATAGCTTGCTGCCCTGTCGTGTCTGTGGATGTACTCAGATCTGGCTAGAGTGGGACATTATTATTATTATTATTATTATTATTATTATTATTATTATTATTATTATTATTATTATTATCTTTTTGATGATAATAAAAACACCTTTTTTCTTCTTTCTTCTCATACTTTCTTACTTTTTAGCAAAAATCGTACTATTGAAGAACAATGACTGTACAAAACGTTTAGACAACAGCAACAAAAATCTATTAATTGTTTTGAATGTGTATTTTGTGTGGTTACGCCTCTGCACAGCGTTTTACTCATAGATATGTGTATAAACATGTATGTTTACATCTATGGTTATGGTTTACATACATATATGTGGTTTTACTGTAGAAAATCTTTGTAATGTGCCAGTATGACCAGATGGCGGCGGTAAATCCAAACAGCGTCAAACTTTACAAACGAAGAAGAAGAAAGACTTCCTCCCAAATCCAATATGGCGACATAGTCTAGCTGTCCACGTTAGTTTGTTGACATTATTTTGAATAGCTACATATACACCGTTTTGTAGAGTTAGAGCTATCATAAATATGTCCAGACTCATCGTTAAAAACCTTCCCAATGGGGTAAGTTAAAACACAACCGGAAGTCATTAACTAGCAAGAACATTCACCTGAAAATCTAAATTCGTGTTGTATTTAGATGAAGGAGGAAAGGTTCAGGTCGATGTTTGCTGCCTTTGGCACTGTGACAGACTGCTCCCTGAAGTTTACTAAAGAGGGTAAGTTCCGCAAGTTTGGTTTTGTGGGATTTAAATCGGAGGAAGACGCTAACACAGCGCTGAAACACTTCAACAAGAGCTTCGTGGACACCTCAAGAGTCACGGTACGAGCTCCATCGTGGCATCGTTTCCTAGTTTTACGCGTTTTCTTTTACTTCTATATTCAAAAACTTGTTGTGCTGACTTTCCCTCTGAAGGTGGAAATGTGTAAGGCTTTTGGTGATCCCACTAAAGAGAAAGCCTGGAGCAAACACACTCAGAAGTTAGAGCAGGACAAGCCTTCTGCTCCTCCACCTCCTGCTGACAGCAAAAAGGTAAATACAAAATGAAAACGCCAGCATTAAATCTGGTGGATTTCAGTCAAAGCATTCTTTATATTTTTGTAAACCGTGGTAAATGTCATGAATTTTATGTGTGTTTGCTTTGAAATCTAGAAAAAGATCAAGAAAAAGGAGGGTGTGCTGGGAGAAGTGAGTAAAGAAACAAGTGTATAAGCTGTTCATTAGTTACAATAAGTAAGACGGTTACAGTTTTAAAGCAGAGTATCAAACTGTATCCTGATTTTTTGCTACTGTTAAATTTGAAATAAATCATGCAATGTTTTGCCTTGTTTCTATTTATTTATGACAGTGTTTTATTGAGTATTTTTCATGTTCTTGTCCCTTGTCAGCTGGAGGAGGAAGAAGGATTCAAAGAGTTTCTTTCGGTGCATCAGAACCGTATGCAAGCTCCGACCTGGGCCAACGACACGGTGGCTCAGGATACGGCTGATCCTGATAGCAGAAGAACTAAAAGCAAGAAGAAGCCTGCGACTGATGACTATCTTAACTTTGATTCAGACCAGTCAGGGAATGAGGAAGAGGGGTGTGATGCAGATGATGATGGAGACGAAGGTTTGATTTTGTGTTTGTTGCTAGAAATTTTTCTCCTTATCACTTTTCATAAACGATAAAATTCTACATTTAAGATTATTGTTGAAACATGTTTACATATTTAGCTACCTCTAAAGAAGCTCTGAAGTCTGGGCTGTCCGATATGGACTACCTGCGCTCAAAGGTGGTCCAAACAGACGACATGATGGAGGAGAATGAAGGTGATGAAGAGGAGAACGACGCTCCGGTTCAGCATGCAGACAGCACTTACGAGAGTGGTGAAAACATGTCAAAACCTTCATCTGGGGATAAGAAGCAAAGCAATGAGAAGAAAAGTGCCAAACAGGAGGTGATTGATAAAACGTCTGGATAATAATCAACCCTCGACACATTTAATTTATTTGTGTCTGTTTGCTGCAGATGGAGCCAACCACAGATTTCACAGTGAAGCTCAGAGGAGTCCCGTTCAACGTTAAAGAAGTGCGTTTTCCATCTTTATATCAGTGATTATGTTTCCTGCTTTACAAACTTTTAAACATGCTTTCATGTACAACATTTTCAGCAACAAATCCGTGAGTTCATGACGCCTCTGAAGCCTGCAGCAGTCCGGATTGGAAAGAATGACAGTGGAAACCGAACTGGTGTGTTACCAGAAATGTTCATTATGCAAGTTGTATGCTCGATCGTGCAGCAGTCACCAGTATGAGGTGTGTGTGTCAGCATGGGTCATTTGTGTGTTTTAGGTTATGTTTATGTTGATCTGCGCTCTGATGAAGAGGTAGAAAAGGCCTTGAAGAAGAATAAAGACTACATAGGTGAGGAATAACACAATTTAATAAAGAATGTAAAGCAGCAAATCCTTATTTAGGACAAAAGAGTAAAATGTTCTCGGCTCATATGAAAACAGATGGTACAGAATAATAAAACGTGTTCCTGCCTCCATTAATGGCTTTCTCTGCTTTTGTGTCAGGGGGGCGTTACATCGAGGTTTTCCGTGTCGATTCTTTTGGAGACAAGAGGGACAAAAGGGATAAAAAGGAGGACAGAAACTTTACCAGGGAGCTTAAGAAGGACGAGGAGGAAGAGGACGTTTCAGAATCTGGTCGACTCTTCATCAGAAACCTTCCTTACACCTGCACAGAGGAGGAGATGAAAGAGCTTTTTACTAAACATGGTGAGTAAACCAGCCGTGCACTTTGTTCATTTATTTTTCTGAACATTATAAATGTTTTTATTTTTTTCTTCCTACGAACATCACAGGTCCTTTATCAGAGGTACTTTTTCCCATCGACAGCTTATCAAAGAAACCAAAAGGATTTGCTTTTGTTACCTACATGATACCAGAAAATGCAGTGACGGCTCTCGCTGAGCTGGACGGACATATATTTCAGGTAATTCTGTCTGACTGTTTGGTATTTCTCTGCACCATGTGGTCACTGGTGCTGATTTGTTTCTCCATTTCAGGGTAGAATGCTTCACGTCCTTCCTTCCACCCTGAAGAAGGAGAAGCCCGAATCATCAGATGCTCATGGTTCTGGGTCCTCGTCATACAAACGACAGAAAGATGCCAAAAATAAAGCGTCAAGTTCCAGGTTTACATAATGAAATAAAACTTCAGTTCTTTTACTTTTGTGTGTACTTGCTGTTTTAAGTACCTTCTCTTTTTTGTCTAGCTCACACAACTGGAACACTTTGTTTCTGGGGACGAGTGCTGTGGCGGATGCCATTGCTGACAAATACAACACCACTAAAAGCCAAGTCTTGGACCACGTGAGTGATTTTCACACGTGGAGCTGCTGCATCATGTAAATTATTTGTGCATTTACACGTTTCTGCCTTTCAGGAGACAAAAGGAAGTGTTGCTGTGAGGATGGCTCTGGGAGAGACACAGATTGTCCAGGAGACTCGACAATTCCTGCTGGACAACGGTGTCTCTCTGGACTCTTTTAGCCAGGTAGCTAAAGAAAAAAAGATCGCATCTAAAATCCTTTTCATAATTTTTGGTGCCTTTTATCCCTAAGATCCTGCTGTTTCTGCACAGGCAGCAGCAGCGAGGAGTACATCTGTGATCCTGGTGAAAAATCTCCCAGCCGGCGTGGCGGTGTCAGAGCTGGAGGAGGTCTTCTCGCCTCATGGCTCTCTGGGCCGAGTGCTGCTGCCACCCTCTGGACTCACAGCCATCGTCGAGTTTTTGGAGCCAACAGAAGCCAAGCGAGCCTTCACAAGGCTGGCTTACAGCAAGGTGTGTGTAGCTGCTTCACTTTGATCAATCAGTGAGGCTGAAGACTAATGAACCCTCTGTCCTGCTGCTTTCTAAACCCCAGTTCCAGCATGTTCCGCTGTATCTGGAATGGGCTCCTGTTGGGGTGTTTGTGGCAGCAAAACCACCAGAACCAGGTAGCACCACTGGAAAACATAACAATCTTATTTTGTTTGTTTTTTTGTTATTGAAGCCTTTTTGAATCACCAGAACACTTTTACATTTGTCCAAGTAGACAAACAGAAGGCACTCAAAGAAGAAAAGAAAGAGGATGAGGAGGAGGAGGAGGAGGAGGAAACTGTTCCTGGTTCTACACTTTTCATTAAGAATCTGAATTTCAGCACAACAGAAGAGAAACTACAGGAGGTGGGTCGATTTAGCCCTCATCTGTGTTGCATTAGTTACAGTTACTAGTGGATTAATCATAGATTTATATATTGTTTTCTTATTTGCAGGCGTTCACAAAATGTGGTGTGGTCCGGTCCTGCAGCATCTCCAAGAAAAAAGACAAATCAGGTACTTCATATAAAACAGGTTGTTTAAAAAGAGAACATCCAATTTTTTTGCAAACCTTTGGTTTTAATTCAATCATTTTTAATCTACTTTGCTCTAATTTTTTATGTAGCTTAATCTTGGTTTTACATTTATATACTTTCATTGGTTCAAAATTTCCAGTGATCTAAAGCAACGGTTCTCAACTGGTCTGGGTTTGAGACCCGCTATCGCCTCTTAATGACGAGCTGTGACCCAAATCGAGGAAAAATTACAACTTCTCAAATTGAGAAGAAAAGATGGTTCCATTTAAACTTCTGGAGCGATAGTAGACAAAGCAACTCGGAGATCATGCTCAATGTCCCGTCTGTTTCTCTGTTCTGAGCTGAGAAGCTGCTCTCACAAAGATAGGTAGAGCTGAAGGAATGGTGAGAAAGGTTTGAGTGGCAATGGAAGGATACTCACTCACACTGCAACAGAACCGGGAGAGGCTTACCTCTGCAAATTTCTTTTGTCGGTGTGCGGTCATATGACATAATACGTTTTGACATGGTTGATCAGTGACCTCTGTTTTTTTTATTAGTAACTGTCCCAGGATAGAAACATGTATCCTATTTTGTGTTATAAAACTGCAGGAATCAATTAGCACTCCCAAACTGTATCGCCACTGGCTGTTGAGGAGTGGGAAAAGACTGCACTCCAGTTTGCGCACAAAAAGATCCCCAACAAAATAAAACAGCTTGATTCTTTTTTATACCATTTTGCCCCAGAAAAGGCCCACGACCCACACACCAGTTGAGAATCACTGATCTTAAGAACATTTTTTCACTTCTCTGCACCGTTGTTTTAATTTCCAGGTAAATTTTTGTCCATGGGTTATGGTTTTGTCCAGTACCAGACGGCAGAAGCAGCACAGAAGGCTTTGAGGCAGCTCCAGGTATGTCTTCTGAAACTCTGACTGTTTCTCTGCAGTGTGAACTTTGACTAAATTGTGTGCTCTCTCTGTCCTCCCACTCTCCTCCAGCACTGTACTGTGGACAATCACCAGTTAGAAGTGAAGATTTCTGAGAGAGCCACCAGGTGAGTCATGAAACAGATTAGTATTTATGCATTTGTTGTTAAATATTTCAAAAACAAATCTGTGTTCTGTGTTTGAAATGTTAAACATATTAATAGTTTGGTTTGCAAAGCAGGCTCCGTCAGTTGTGATCCGCTGTGCCTAATCTTTTGCTCGGTGTGCAGAACCGCTGAAGTGTCACGCAAAAAGAAGCAAGTGGAGAAGAAGCAAACCAGCTCCAAGATCCTTGTGCGGAATGTTCCCTTCCAAGCAACTGTCAAGGAAATTCGAGAGCTCTTTTGGTAGCAGTCACACTTTTACACATCCTTTTATTTATGTATCTAGTGTTGTTTGGAGATGGTTACAGGTTAAGATCATTTCATTTTTTAAATTTCCCTTATCTTTCCAGTACATTTGGAGAGTTAAAGACCGTCCGACTTCCAAAGAAAGCAGCGGGTTCAGGGAAGCACAGAGGTTTTGCTTTTGTTGACTTCCTCACCAAACAGGACGCAAAGGTTTGTGTGTGGTCTTTTGATTTGAGGTTAAATAATTCAACATGGCAAATACTTTCAGGTAGGATAGTTTGTTTTGTGTAATGTCAAATTGATAAAATATTCTTCACCTCTTTTGGCTGTAGAAAGCCTTTGCAGCTCTCTGCCACAGCACCCATCTGTACGGGAGACGGCTTGTGCTTGAGTGGGCCGACTCTGAGGAAACAGTGGAGACACTGAGAAGGAAAACAGCCGAACATTTTCATGGTAAAGCTTCTAAATCTGTTAAACTGTAGGGCATAATTTAGTAAACTAAAGATACGTCATACTAGTCATTTTTTCTCCTTTTATTTCAATGACAGTGGCTGCAAAAAAGCAACGAAAAACAGAAATATTGGGAGGAATTCTGGACACGATGGAAACAGAAGAGGGTGTTGCCGACTGAAATCTAGCAGTGCTTCTTTGTATTTTTTTTTATTGTGAATTTGAACAAAATATAGACTTTAATTAAAAAAGGACAAAGCAGTTGTTATTATATTGACAGACTGGATGGAAATGTCATGAATATCCATTGTTTGCGTATATTCTGTACTGCATTAATTCTCAAAAAGAAAAATTGTAACCGTATAAGTTTTAATACAAAAATTTACAACATAATTTTAAAGCCTGGCGTTTCATTTGTTACCCAGTGAAGTGGACTTTTATTTTGAAAAGCGCTTTTTTTTCACGTGTCAGCTGACAAATCACTTGCCTTGTCACGTGACAACTTCTTTCAAACATGGCGTCAGAGCAAAACAAGTCGTTCTCTCCCAGACAATTAGCTAATGTTTGGAGAGTTTGTTTGGGTTTAACCTGGTTGTGTGTGTTTGTTGGAGCAGAAATACGAACAGCTGTTCTAGATAAACAGAGCGGACGGCTGTCCGTCGTCCTGGGCTTCCGGGAAGACTTTGTAGCCTGGGCTAACTTCACCGACGACATCCAAACATCGGGGTGAGCTGAGCTCTTCAGTTTCTCTTTTGGTATTTTAAAGGTTCAGGCGTCTCTTTTAGGTCGTTGATGTGAAATAAATTTGTATAAAAAAACATCCTGTACTTGTGAAGTGTTACTCTACTGTCCAACTGCTACTGTTATTACACACGTTTTACAACTTTATGTACAGAAATGACTGGTAAAGCTGGTTTATGTGGCAATACGGGAGTGGTCTATGACCTGTTGACGCCAAGGATGGCAATTGTATCTGCTCGAGTGCAATTTCGTTAACAACGCCACCTTGGGAATTTCACCCAAGGAATTAAAGCATGTAGATTCATTCCACTTGACAGCAGACGTGGTTTCAAAAGTTACAATGAATTTATTTTATTTTATAGAAGAAACAGTTTAAAAGACATTTTAAAAACTGGCCATGTAAAATACCATAAAAAATACTAAAATTAATGCCCCAAAAGAAACTGAACCAATGAAATGTATTGAGAAAAAGGAAATTAATTTAACTCACTGAAATTAATTCATGAAGTCCAAAAAATGAGAGTTAACTAAACACAGTTCAACTACAAATTTAAGTAAACAATAAGGTTAACAAGCAGGACTGAGGCTAGTGATGGAGGCAGGTAACGCGGGGCAGAGAAGCCCCAACACAACAAAAATAAGTATAAAAGATTCACCGATGTGACAGTGTGAGCGTCCTGTCACAATGTCCCGATTGATCACGCGCCCTGGCTACTTGGCCAAAGGGATGTCCCTTTGGCTGACTGGTTAGAGCGTATGACTCTCACCCGGGAGTCTGGGTGATCGAATCCTGCCTGGGCCCTCGTTTATCCACCTTGTCACATTTATAACGGCTTAAACTCACCAAAAAGTATAGTTTTTCTTTAACTCTTGGATCAAATGTTGTATAGTTTTATATCGAGGGTAATAAAGTTATAAAATGGTGAAAAATTATAGCAGTAAAATGTGATATTTTTGCAATATTTTGCAAATCAAGCAGACTTTACCAGAAAGTGAAGTAATAGACGTATTTTTGACTTTAAAACTATACAGCAAATACATATGGGGAAGAAGTTTTTACCTAAAAAGGAAATCTTTCAGCAAACATGTGATTAACTATTGGCACTTGTTGATGCAAAAAAATAATTTTTATTCTTTTCAAACTGAAAACTAAATGCAAACAATGATTTCGTGGCAAGCTGCTAATCACACACATCTTTAAAACATTTTACTACAAAGGTCATTGTGGCTGAAGCGCCTACTCAGTGATTAGGGGCAGCTGAACCCAGCAGCCCAGTATTAATCACAGCAACGCTCTCCTTTTAGCTGGTCCTTCCTGGAGGTCACAACCAGCAGCAAGTATAATGACAGCATCCAGGCGTATGCTGCTGGTGCAGTCGAGGCTGCAGTTACATCCCGGGTAAGTCTAATTTAGTCAAGTTTAGATTACTGACATCTTTTTGTTGTTTTCATTTTTATTCATTTACCAACTGTGATGGAAAAATGTATTTAATCAAGAGCCGTTGAGAAAAATTAATAATCAGTTATGGATTGATTTTTTAACCTGTGCAAAGGGAGGACCGATAAAAATGAAAGATGTGCTGATCTGAAAATGTGGGCCAACATCGATATTCGATAGTAATGTTGCTGTTATTTCTGATAATCAACATTTACTGATATTACAGTAATATAAGAAGGATTGTAAGAAAATATCAATGCACTGAAATATTGTGATATTTTGTGTATTGATACTGAATCGATATGTAAAAGCAGTGTTATCTGTTTTTATTGATATTTTACATGCAAATGTTTACCACATTACCTTTACCAAATTGCCAGATTCTTATTATAAACTCCACAAATACAAGAATTGTATACAAAAAAATTATTTACTCACCACTCACATTTACGCTTCAGAGATGATTACCATGACGTTCATATGACCAAACAATTACGCATTATCAAACCTTCACCCTCTGAAACTGATACACAAATAGCCACTAGATGGGAAAATATATTGTTTGATATCAGCCCGGTTTAGCATATTGGACCAATATCGATATGTTAAAAAAATACCGATATTGACGCCGTTATATTGTGCATCCCTAATAAAATCATACGTCTAAATAGAATTTCACAAAACCACTTGACTGCTTTTATAGCAGAGTAAGAAGTTGGGGAACAAAACTGCCAGATTTATCTCTCAGTTACAGACTTGGTGCTGCTGCTGGCCAAAGAACAATTAAGAAAATGAGGAGAGATACCACACAAAGGAACGCTTTTTCTACTTACAGAAATTCCTAAATGTCCATTTCAAAGGTTAGGAAACCAAAACTGACTGAATTTCAGTCACACAGCTTTGTTTATTCATTGTTGTTTAGCTCATCTATGACCACTGGATGAACACTCTGGTGGGGTACTGTGGCCCCTTCAAGTTTCAATCGGGTTACTGTGGACGCCTGAAGGCTTTCATCACAACTAACCTGCGTTGGGTTCAGACCATGATAGAAGCAGGGCCGAATTCACCCTACTGGTACCAGGTACTTCATTAGCATATGCAGCAATCCTGTTGGGAATAAATATTTAGAGATCTAATGTTTTACTTTTTGTTTTGCAGGTGCGTCTGGTGCTGCTGCAGCTGAAAGGCCTCGAGGACAGCTACAATGATCAGCTCTCATTTCCAACAGAGTCCTTCTCCATCAGTCCCTTTGGCTTCCTGTGAGCCACTATCTTAATAAAACATATCCTTAAATGAAAACGGTCTCTAACATGCTCCACTGCTATTCTGTCCAACTAGTCTTTTCCAGTTGGGTGGGGATCTTGAAGACTTGGAGTCAGCACTGAATAAATCCAGCCAAACCCAACCCATCGGAGCTGGTTCCTGTTCTGCGCTCATTAAGCTGCTGCCAAACAATAAAGAACTCCTGGTTTCTCATGACACCTGGTCAACCTACCAGTCCATGCTGCGCATCATGAAGAAATACATCTTTGCCTTTAAAAAGTCTCCTTTAGGTAGTAGAGAAGACTTTTGCACTGTTGGTCATTATTTAACAAGATTTTGCGATATTAATATGTAATAAAAATGGGCATTCACTCTTTGTCAAATGTTAAACCTTCATAATGCCGTAAACATTTTCAGACAATGAACCACTTCCTGGAGGAACTCAGGCCTTCTCATCCTACCCTGGATCCATCTTCTCTGGAGATGACTTTTATATCTTAAGTAGCGGCTTGGTAAGAATGCGTTGTGTTGCAAATTATTAAACTTGCTTATTGTTGAAGATTTGACTGCATATTATGAATTCAGATAATTATAGTAATCATGTTCAATGCAGGTTACACTAGAGACCACCATTGGTAACAGCAACCCTGACCTCTGGAAGTACGTTCAGCCAATACCGTCTGTTATGGAATGGCTCAGGAATATTGTTGCTAATCGACTGGCTACTACTGGTGAAGAGTGGGCAGAGCTATTTGAAATGTACAACAGTGGAACGTGAGTTAAAAAAAAATCCTCTATTTTCAAAGGTGTTATTACCACTTTGTCCAATTTTAATATTTCAAGCAAGTTTCAGGGTCAACTGCTCTTGTTTTCCTTTGAGAATTGCCCAACTAATGACAGGATTTGCTCTGAAATTCTGCAAGCTTGGACCAATTTTATGTGCACTTTGGTACTTTTAGTACAAATTCTGGTTCCACAAAACGCATACGAATCAATCGAAACCCATCAATAACACACCACTTCAACAGGAAATTGCTTTAGTTTTTTGCTGCGGTACAAAGTTCGATTCTCACCTACTGATGCAGATTAGCGCTTCATTTAAAAAAAAAGCTAATTGGTAATGTGTTTTCTCTACATGTAAACTCTGCAAAACTTCAGCTAAATAGTTTCTTGCAGATAAACAAGTATTTAATAAAAAAATGTGTAAATGTGAAAAAGATCATGTCATCTGGACTGGGAAGTAAAGCAGAAAAACTTGGTGCTTATATGTACGAGTCACATGAGACAAGAGGGGTCAGTCGGGTTTTCAGGCTCTTCATGAGTGTTTACCGTGAAATGCTGAATCAGTTACTTTATTAGTCACATGGATCCTCAGTAAATAAACCACTGATTGTGGTGGGTCAAATGTCCTGATTGCACTTCAGTTTACCTGTTTGTTTACTTATGAATGTGTGTGTTTTCTTTAGATACAACAACCAGTGGATGATTGTGGATTATAAACAATTTACCCCAGGAAAGACTGATGTTAAAAAGGGCCTCCTTGTAGTTCTGGAGCAGATTCCGTATGTTTTTTTGCACTCATTACTAATCCCATCATGGAGTCTATCTGTTCACCACTTAAAATGATCACTGCTTATCTTTTAATGCTGCAGGGGTTTGGTCATCTATGATGATAAGACTCAAGAACTGATGAAGAAAGGATACTGGGCCAGTTACAACATACCGTAATAATCCAGTTCAGAAACAATCTGCATCTTAAATTTCTTGTTCTGTTGTAGCTTTTAAATAGTTTTTTTTTTTTTGTTGCCATACACACACACACACACACATAGGTACTATCAGGACATATTCGACGCCAGTGGCTACAACGAGCTGGTCAATAAGTATGGTTCATGGTTCTCGCTGGATCAGAATCCTCGTGCTCAGATATTCAGGAGAAACCAGACACGTGTTACCGATGTAGACTCCATGGTCCGCCTCATGAGGTAAAATGTGCAAAACGTAACACTTCACAAGATTTTATGTTTTATTAGTCTGGTAAATAGCATCTCGCCATATTTATGTGATGTACTGTTATCCTTCAGATACAATAACTTCAAAGAGGATCCGTTGTCGAGGTGTGAGGAATGTAGTCCTCCTGAGAATGGGGAGAATGCAATCTCAGCACGTTCAGACCTGAACTCTGCTAATGGAACATATCCGTTTGGTGCTTTAAAGCAGAGACCACATGGGGGAACAGACATGAAGGTACCTTTTTAATTTATTTTAACATTTTTTGTTAGAACACATTACACTACATGATGCTTGCAGCTTACTTTGTGTAATTTCCTAAAAATAAAAATGACTAATATTTTTCTGTGTATTTGTTTCTTTTTAGATGACTTCCTATGAAATGTACAAAACCTATGGCATGCTGGCTGTGAGCGGACCTACCTGGGACCAAGTGGCTCCCTTCCAGTGGAGCACTTCGCCTTACCAAGACTTGTTGCACATGGGTCATCCTGATACTTGGACCTTTAAGCCTATAAAAGTCACCTGGACACCTTAAAAGTTTATCTGGAATAAAAAGCTGCTCCTTTATTGTTTTAATAAAAGGAATAGATCAAAAGTTATCACTGATTGCCAGAACAATGATGTTTTTAAAATCCTGTGACAATTATAGTGTTGAACTTTTGCTGATTAAATAAAAAAAAACTGCTTTGAGCCTTGAACAAAAAATAAATGCTGCTATTTTGTAGGAGCATTCAAGATTCAGTTATTTCTGTTTTTTTTTTTTTTTTTTTTTTTGGAACAGATTTTTTTCTAGTTTGTTTCAAAAACTAGAACAAACTATAAATATCATCTTTTGGATGGTCTGTTTGATTTGTGAGTTAGCACAATTCGATGTTACAAATGGTGTTCCTATCTTTTTAATGATGTCAGACATCATTTGAAAAAAAAACCAATCTTTTCTGACATTATTTGAAGAAAAAAAAACAAGAACCCCCTTTCTGACATCACTTAAATAATCATTTTAAAAAAACGAGCCCCTTTTCTGACATAATTTGAAAGAAAACGTAAAAAAACAGCATCTTTCTGACATTTGAAAGAAAATATTTTAAAAAGCATCTTTCTGACATAATTATGAATAAATGATAATTAAATTAATTTCGTCAAATTATGTAACAACGGGAGTTATTTTTTTTTCTTCAAATTATGTCACAAAGCAGTTTCTTCTTTCATTAAATTGTCAGAAAGAGGGTATCAAGTGATAATTTTGAGACTGAGATTGGGGCATACAGGTTTAAACGGTACCCTGATAGGTAAACAGTACAGGAATGTGTGGTTGTGGAAAGGATAAGAGAAACAGTTGAACATGTATTGTGCCACTGTGACAAGTATATACAGAACAGGAAAACATTATCTAGACGATTAAAGTTGAAAGATACTGAAAAGTTGACTTTAAGGAATTTATTAATTGGAGGATTGGGTGTTTATAGATTACTGATTGAATTTTTACGGTCTAGTAAATTGATGACTAGACCAGCTTCTCCCAATTGCGACTCACACTCCCACAAGGTGGCGGAAATGCACCTAGGAGTTGGTTGCCACCCGCCAATAAGCCAGAAGGGAAGAAGAAAATAACTCGTGTGTTAGCGCTGCTGTCGCATAACGGAAAAACATTTTACACTGGGCACTTGGACTGTGGCGTCATCTGAAAATATCGCTGTAAGGTATGTAAATGTGTCCCGTAGCTTCTTCGTTAGCATCTTGATTTGGCTAGACTCCTACGTGCCTCAGTCACAAGCCTACTTCCTGTTGTAGTAGACACCAAGTCATCTCTTTTTTCCATACAAATAACAAAACATGTCGCAATTTATTATTTGAGGGTGACTTTTCATTATTTTCCGTTTGCAGGTAGCAACATATCAGCTCTAAGTGGAGTTTAATGATGAGTTACTGCCAGACGGTCACCAACCTTAGAAACTACATATCCCATAATCCACCAGGAGCAACTTTCGTTCTGTGTCTTTTGACTTTGGCAATTTCATTAATTTATCTCAGCTCTTATAGTTACCCTCACAATCTGCCAAATCCTGACATAAAGGTAAGGAGGACTTGTTTCAGGTCACCATTAGTGGGTGGGTGGGGTGAATGAAACTCATGCCATGTGTTTTTTATTTCTATCCCATTATTATGGATTACAAAAAAGATTTTTGACATCTGATCGCACAGATTTTCTTTCACTCTGCCTGCTAATTTCCACCTTCTGACCTAATCACACACCAAATTCAGTAGGCAGACAAGAAAATGACTGACCACAAATCAGCGCGGGGGGGACACCTTTCCCATAAAATGCATGTGCGTGTTACATTATGTTGCAGCACTCAATGTCCATCTAATTCTAAATACTGAACCAAATGCACATTTTTCTGCGCACCAGCTTCAGAGGAATCCGGTTGTCTGCCACAACCTTAGATTTTACCTCAGCTCAGGTGCAAAACCATGAAAATAGTTGTTTGTCAACAATTGTCATGACTGAAGTACAAAGGGAAACCATAAGATCCAGCTTGTTTTTTGTTCTTAAAACTTTAATTATCACAGCATTTGACACTGACATCCATTTTCTTAATTCATTCTTTAGGACTGGAATAATCTGCTTTCATCTTTATCAGAATTTGACTTGTGTGGAACGGTAAATTCAAGTTCACCTGTGCAACTCTCCTCTACACCAGTACCACTGATGGATCAAGAAAATGACAAAATAACTTCAGTGAACTTGACAAAAAGTCCTCCTCCTGTCACTGTTTTGCATCGCCGAGTTCCTCTGACTGTATCTTCTGAAGGTGGTCTGCTGAAAAACACGGGTTTGCTCACATCCTTAACCGCCAGTCAGCTTCGTCTTGGAGGTTGGTTTTCCCAGGGAATTTCTCTGAGCTGATATATCTTGTGTAATACAGTTTTTGCTGTATCTATTTTAATTCCTAGATAAAGAAATTGTTAATTTGACACTTCATATCCTATCGGACACCTCTAACTACTCTTGCCTCACTATAAGTGCTCCAACGGATATCCTGCCTAAGAGTCCGTAAGTTTCTTCTCAGTTTGTGATTCTGAGCTAAATTATTACGCATATATGCTAATTAACATTATTTTTTGTTGCTGATTTAATAAAGGCTTCCTCCTGAGTGTCCTGCATCGGAGAAAACGAAATCAACCATCTCAGTGGAAGCAAGCAATCAGCCGCAAATGTCATCACAGACATGCTACAGTCTGCACTTTGAGAAGGACCCTACATTTGCTGTTATGCTAACCCTGGTAGGAAGTGCTACACTTGAAATGCAGAACTTTGGTAAATGGCCTGTAGCACCTTCTTAGGATTCTACAACCTCCAAGGTGCTTCACAATCCATTTCATTCATCCATTCACACCATCGACCTATAAATATTGGACAATGGGTTTCCACAGGCTCCAACAACACATTTTTGAAGAAAAATGGGAGGTGGCCACCACCGCCATTTTGACCGTGTCACAGGTTCCGTCAAGCCCAGACAATTCCACAAAAGGGAAGAGAGGTGGAGCTGAGGGTGGGGCTGTAAGGCTGGGATCAACTGACGACACCCGGTCGAACTAGCTACAAGCTAACGCGGAGGTGGGAGCTAAGCTAACGGAGGTAGCAACCTAGCTACAACCGGAGTTAACTGTGCACAACACCTGAGCTTCTGACTCAGAGATACGCTGGGCTGACCGCTGGGTAAAACCGGGTGGAACACAGAGGTCTCTGAGACCTCCACAAGCCGACAGCCGCACAGCAAACAAGCGCCGCTGCGATCTGAGATGCGCAGAGCTGCCGCTGGGGAGAACCGGGTGGAAAGGTTTCCATCCCAGAGCTCCACAAGCCGTCAGCCCGCGCAGCAGTCAGGAGCCGCAATCAGACAGAGATGCACCGGGCTGCGGGGAGGGGAGAACCGGGTGGAAAACATCGGTCTCCCGAGAGCTCCACAAGCCGATAGTCGGAACCCAGCTCCACTAACATGTTATATTTCAACCCATTTTCTAAAGTGCAGCAATATGTTAAATGCACTGGGTTTTATCCTATTACATTTAAATTTCATGGTTAAACAGTACATGTTAACATCTAAGCTCAGCTTGGCAGTGACCTAAAATACATAAATATAATTTTACTTACCGAAAAAAAATGAAGTGGAGACTCCTTGGACGCTCGATTAGTGCAATTAATGCCACAGCAAGTCATTTTGTCCAACAATTGCACAAAAAATATCCAAACACAGAGACTCAAAATCCCAGAACAGTTTCCAAGCCAGACCGAGGCTCTACTGAGGCCTTTCCACTACAGAAGAGTGAAGACACCCCCCCCCCCAAGAGTTGTCATGAGTGTAAACTAGATAATTTAAACCAAAAACATGTTTTGGTACCAGGCTGTAAACATGTATATTTCTGCTGTGAAATTAGTATTTTTAACATGGGAGTCAATGAGGATTTGCTCGCTTCTGACACCAGCCCCCAGCGGATGAGGGTGGAACTGCAATTTTTGTCACTTCCGCGTTGGCCTCAATTTTTCACCCGCAGTGTGGGGGCTTGATTCACACACACATTAACACGCTGGTGGGGATGAGCTACAATAGCGCCACAGCTGCCCTGGGGTGCACTGACCGAGGCAAGGCCTGCTGAACACTGGCACCACCGATCGCTCTAACCACCAGCAGCAGGCAAGCTGGGTTAAGTGTCTTGCCCAAGGACACAACAGCAGCATTCTCTGGTGGGAGCCGGGATCAAACCTGCAACCTTCCAATTAATTACTGGACAACCTGCTCTGAACTCTTGAGCTACTACTGTCCATATGGTAAATGATAAATGCTCTTTATATTTAATTTATTTCATAATTTTGTACCTTCCTTTTTATAGGAAGAAAAAGATGTGGCAGTGCGACATCTGCTGGAAGTCAGTTTGTGTCTGCTCAGCATTTGTATCTTGCTCTGTTTGGCAGCAAGCTTCACACACTCCAACAGACACCACAACAGCTATCAGAATGGACTTAACCTCCAAAATGTAATTCTCTTATTTTCCTATACTACAACTCAAACATTTTCTGTCAGCCTCTCCCGTTTCTGCAGTTTTAGGTGTTTTTGGTCATGTGTTGACAGTTTTAAGTTATTCCTCCTGCTTTCTTCTGTTCACAGGAGCCCTTGATTGGCAGCTGACTATTTATACATCTAAACCACGAAGAAGTGAACTATTGTTTAACAAAACACCAGTTTACTGGTGGAAACGGTGGTTTGTCCTCAATGTCACCATATGGGGGTGGGGAGCTTTAATACCTTGGTTAAATAAATCCCTGCAATGTGTCAGCGTTGTATCTAATGTACAAATTCACAATGCACTAACTTTGATGTTCTAAATTTGCTATTTTGTTTATCAGTTTTAGCTTGGGAAAAAAAATCTTTATTTTGAAGATGATCTATATGAGCCATGAAAGGTTTAATTTTCTCCAATAAAAAGCTATTTTAAGTTCAAAGTGTACAGAAACATTCTTTTCACTGGTTAGTTTTACTGTTCGCTGTTTGGGTTTGGCGATTAGTTTTATACATTAGAGGTAAGTTTTTTTTATATACATTGGATAATTCTGAGAATACTCAAAACCTCTGGCACCAGACTTATTTTCATACTTGGTAAGTTTAGTTTGCCAGACACACACACTACTTTGAAATCTCTTCAACATTATATACTAAAAAATATGTTTCAGTTACCCTCAAAATTGTTCTTTTTCAGAGTGAAAGAAAATTGGGTCTGAGGCTGTATAAGATGTTGATGTATTTATTTATTTTAAATTAAATAAGGAATTCAAAGATAGGCAGTTTAACATTGTTTGGACAGACTTGTTTGATCTCTCTAGTGGCAACAATTCTGGTAATCAAATGAAGCAACCCAATCTTCCACCTTGTCTTCACCAACAATTGTGATTTGAGAAACTATTTTGACTAATTTGTTTATAAGTTAAATTTTCCAATTACATGCATCTAAACAAGTTACTCTTTTGAAACCAATGTATTGAAGGAGTTACTGCAACCAGAAATGAATGATAAAACAAAGACACAATCGTTAGCAGCGTAGACATATGTCCATGTTTAGTAGTATGCATGATCACTTTGTTCCTGTACACTGCTTTCACTAGCATGGCAAGCCATCCTATATATATGTGAATATATGAACTTTGCAAAGCAAGAATTTGGTCTAGTTCACTTTTCTCTGCAGTTTTATTGATGATGAATTTTGTCTCTAACTCTGATCAGTTTGGCTACAATATTAACATTTAATATAATTGTTGAACGAGCAATTCTGAAATCACTGGGGATCAGCATCAACTAAATATTTTGTCAAGTACAAGACTTTGGGGTAGCTGTACGTAACGTGGCCTACGTAGAAAAACGTCTCATCCAATGATTGCTTAGAAACGTGTCGTTGTGCCTTCCTATTGGCTCATTCTGGGAAAACGAGGGGCGGGACTCGTGCGAAGCAGTGCGCTCAGGAAGACGTCCGTCGTAGTGACTGGATTCTTCGCGGCCTATAGGATTGTTTCATAACAACTAATGAAAAAGGTGATATTAATTATTATCTTTTAAATTAATATAATGCATTAAAGTCGCTGCCATATGACAACGTTCTGAAAACCTGGTCAATATTTTATGGTTTGGCTAACGTTAGGTTAATGTTAAGGTCGTTTCCCCATAACATTCTGCAACAAACGCTAACGTCTGTTAGCTAAGAACAGATTAGCTTAACGTTAAGCATCCTTTAAAGTTGCTGCCAAGCGTTTGTATCGTGTGGTTATTTGTAAGCATGATGTAATATCAGTATATATTAATGCAACCAAACTAGACTGACTGCTGGAGGAAGACGCACAGACAAACGATTAGCGTACAGCTATGTGCACTGAAAGGCGCTCCTTCATGGGTCATTGTTGTTCCACAGGCCTCCCACGTGGTGTATTGAAGGTATTATTTACCTGCAACATATTTTAATAAGCCGTGAATGGCTCTTAGGTAGTGTTGTAATAAGTCCATATTGACAAATACCGGGTTATGTACATATTGCTAGCAAATGCAACTAGGAGCTGTGCTACACGCAACACAAGACTGATAATATTTTATTTTTACCCACATGTTCCAGGATGAAAGCTCTTAATTAGAGAGCGCTGTTGGACAGGAAACAGGAGACCTGAATTGAGAGGAGCAATGGCTTACTCCAGCTACAGCAGCCTGAGCCGGGCTCAGCTTACCTTTGAGTACCTGCACACAAATTCGTAAGTACTACCTGTGTCATCAAGTTATTAGGTGTTTTTCAAACTCATCAATGTTTACGGATTCGCTGTTTGCCTCGCATTCACTTATGGGTTACATAAAATATAACGAGCGTTAAAAGGTGTTCACTCTTTTAAATCTAAATCACTTATAGGTAACCATATTATTAGCTTTGCATACTAGGAACTGTAACTGGTGTGTGCAGCAGGCTAGAAGTACCAACTCGAATTATTTTTGTAGTTTACCATTCGGGCTTGTACACAAATTTTGTGGTGCACTTTTTGCTATTTGAAACCACAGCTCGGGCAAGCTTGCACACATGCAAACAAACACAGCTATTTTTTATGTATCCTCTGCTAACCAGGTGCAGGAATTTAATCTGTTGATGGGTGCATCATGGTGCAGAAATCAACCATTCTGGATTAAACCAATTTGAAATTATTAATAATAGTTAACAGTGCAATGCCAAGGAACGTAAAAGTAAGTGCATCGTCTGGATTGTTTATAAGGACCACATAACAAAACGACAAATTTTTGCATATGTAAAATAAGCACAGGGATTGCATCATGACTGAAGAAATATTGCACAAGTGAACATTTTAAGCACAACAGAGATGACTGAGTTAGATTGGCATTGTCAAAATGTGGCCAGATAAAATTTATCTCTAGGAGCTAGTTTTGCTTGTATTTGGAACCAAAAAGCAACTTAGCTGTAACAAAAATAATTACATTTGAATAAAAACCAGTGATTAAGGCTCCTTTTTTTGATGAAAAGGCAATGTGTCTTTTAAATGACTTAACATCTTCAGGTACAGAACTCAGTATATATCATCATTTATTTATAGTAAATGTTTGACGGTATTTATACTTTATCCGATTTTGCTGTTGTCAAAAGAAGGTGAAGTCCACAAGCACACTTGTATGATTTGAAAACAAAGTGATGTTAATCTGAAAGATTCTTTTTGTTAATCAATGAGAAGTTATTGGAAGTAACATAATTTAGGATCGTTAAAATACCGTAAATCCTCTAATACAGGCCCAGGCCTGTATTTGACTCGAGCTCATCAAGCTCCAGGCCTTTATTGGAAGGAGGACCAGAATTAGAGGCAGGCCTCTATTTCTATTTGAGCAAAATGAACTAATGGTTCGCTGGAGTTTTTGACAATTAAAATTGCGCCCACATTTTCAAAGTTAAACACATTTCTTTTAACAACGGTAGTTTCTGCTTCAGCCCTCTCCCCCCTCCCCCTGCGCAGCGGCCGCAAACTCACTGATGCGCCTGCAGCCTCTCAGAGTTCCTGCTGCTCTAAACATTAAAATAATTATTTCATTTTCTGTTCCTCACTTCTGATTTCCTTCAGTGGTGTCTGTTTGTTGCAACCACCAGGTACAAAAACTAACTTGTTTTTATTTGACAATTTTTCTGTGCTGCCTGTTTATTATCTTCCTGCATCTCCTCTCAATCCTAAAGAAAAACTGCTACCTGGGTTCATATATATTCACCTCATGAGTTACCTTTGAACTGCAGTTCTAAAAGATCTACCGACCGCAAAAACAGTGGAGTGTGCGCCGGCCCAATAAGTTAGGTATGTCACCGAGGACAAAACGGGTGATGCGCCCCGATCCACGGCAGCGAAAAGCTTCAGGCACAAATAAAAGAATAAAAGACAGAAAACATAAAAGGGAATGAGCCGACATGAACGATCGCGTGTTAAATTAGTTTTTGAGGTGGCGACACCTGATTTGATAATGTTACTGTGGCCGTGCTCAGGACGCAGATGTCTGGAGCGCGTCAACAATCAGAGCTTTGCATGCGCAAGCTGGTTAAGGTTAGGATGGGGGTGAGGGGAAGGTTAAATTGCAAGAGGGTAAACGTCACAATTTGGTTAAATGTCCGTTTTACGGCGGGTGTCAGTACCGACGCTCTGGCACAGCGCGTTGCCTCCCGACGCGCAGGAGCTTGTCACCTGCTGACAGCAGGCTGCTGTCTTTTCTGTGGACTGCATCTTGCCGGTCATTATCACGTGACAGCGACTAGTCGATGACAGGCATAAAACGTCACTATAGAGTGGTGAAGTCGACTAGTGACTAGTTCATACAACCCCTACTGCTCCCCAGAGTGTTCTGCAGCATAATCAGCACGTTCTCTTTGAACTTGATATCAAATTTTCGCCTCCTCTTCGTCTCTGCACGGTTAAAGTTGCCGTCGCGGTCTATCACTGGCAAATCAAAAGTGAGACGGATGACACAACCGCCCCCCGTACTGCTTGTTACCACATTCCACCCGGCCACAATAAAAAACCGGCCATTATTCACCTCCGCCGACTCCGACACCGGCCAAAATATGATACCCGGCAGTTAATTAAATACAGGCTAATATTAGAGGATTTACGGTACTTTGAATTCTTTAAAAGTGCCAAGTAGTCGCACAGATGAGCCTAAGGATTTCCATTCCTGCTTTTAACAAATTTTTACTCAACTCTTATTTTTTGTATTGTTGTGAACTGAGATAGGAAGAGGAAGTATTATAAGTGTGTTTGAATAGGAAATGTTTTGAATAACTTCAATGCCTTCGCTCCTTTTTGCTTTATCCAAAATAATCCATAAAATGGATTGGTTCTAAATTAGTTTCATTTTTATTATAGGGTGACCCAGTCTGACATTAACTTCATAATTCAGTTTTGCAAATATAAATGATTGAAAATAATAACATAAATTACTCTGATGAATCTGGCTTGTTTACATTTCAATAATTTTGTGTACTTTCAGGACAACCCATGAGTTCTTATTCGGAGCCTTGGCTGAGCTTGTGGACAACTCAAGGTTAACTAGATCGATTCCCAATAAAACATTCATTTACTGAAAGTTCATCCAACCTTCATAACTGGATTTATATTCGGACATTTTTAGTAGAATTCTGTTTTATTGGTTTGTTTTTCTTCTGCAGAGATGCCAGTGCCACACGGATAGACATCTACACAGGTACGCCCATGGGTAATTCACTACTTTTGCATGTTTTGGCGTTCAAACATTGCACTTTGTGAATCTTTTACTTCTCTTTGTATTTAATCCAGAAAAAAGATCCGAGTTGCGTGGTGGTTTCATGCTCTGTTTTCTGGATGACGGTATTGGGATGGACCCGAGTAAGTGTGATTAATGCTGGTGTTTAGGAACGTTTTCTGAAAATATGCTTCATTTATTTTATTGTGATCCTAAAACATCTTTATTTTTAGTGGAGGCAACCCATGTGATTCAGTTTGGAAAGTCAAGCAAAAGATCCCCAGAGTCCACTCATATTGGCCAGTATGGAAACGGACTGAAATCGTGAGTTTTCATGTAGTTCCTTTGTGATTAAAACACTGGTGTTTCAGTTATAACAGGTAGTGTTTCCATTTTTGTTTCTGCAGGGGCTCAATGAGGATTGGAAAGGACTTCATCTTGTTCACAAAGAAAGAAAACACTCTAACTTGTCTTTTCCTGTCGAGAACATTTCATGAAGAAGAAGGACTTGATGAGGTCAGATATCTGCGCCTCGTGATTTTTATCTTGAGAGGTGCTATATAAAATTGTTTTCTTTCTTTCTTTATATCAATATTTGATTTATAACATTAGGTCATAGAGAAAAATGTGAGGGAAAAATGGAGTGTGAGATCGACAGGCGGATTGGTGCTGCGTCTGCGGTGATGCGAACGTTGTACCAATCTGTCAAGTTGAAGAGAATGTTGAGCCAGAAGGCAAAGCTCTCGATTTACCGGTTGATATACATTCCCGCCATCACTCATGGTCACGAGCTTTGGTTAGTAAATGAAAGAACAAGATCGCGGATACAAGTGGACGAAATAAATTTTCTCTGCGGGGTGTCTGGGCTCTCCCTTAGAGATGGGGTGAGAAGCTTGGTCATCCGTGAGTAGACCCGCTGCTCCTCCACATCGAGTTGAGGTGGCTCGGGCATCTGATTAGGATGCCTTCTGGACACCTCCACCTCCCAACTGGGAGGAGACCCAAGGGAATACCCAGGACACGCTGGTGGGACTACGTCTCTCTGCTGGCCAGGGAACACCTTGGGATTCTCCCAGAGGAGCTGGCCCAAGTAGCTGGGAAGTGGGAAGTCTGGGCGTCTCGGCTTAGGCTACTGCCCCCTCGACCCGACTCCAGATAAGCGGTTGAAAATGGATGGATGGTCATAGGGCCTAAGAATGTCTTTTTATTCTTGTTTATCTTGAATCTTACATCAGACCTTCAAAGGTAGTCACAACAGTCAAGTTGTCACAGCTTCATACATAATAAAAACTTGATTTTCTGTAGAAAATAGAGTATTTAGGTTCTCTCCACAACATGTGGAAGTCAAATTTTTTGGCGTTGAGTTGCTAATCTTTGATTCTCTGTTTTCAGGTAATAGTGCCTCTCCCCTCTTGGGATCTGAAAACCAAGGAGCCACTGACCTCTGATCCTGAGAAATATGCCATAGAGACCGAGCTCATCTTCAAATACTCACCTTTTAAAAATGAGCATCAGCTGATGGAGCAGTTCAACAAAATAGATAGCAGCAGCGGTAAAAATATGAAATGTTTGATCTAAATATGAAGTTCTGATATGTCCGATAATTTGATGAATGATTATTTTGGTTAGTTACATAATTTACTCTAATTGTTAATTTCTATTTGAAAAATGTCTTTAAAAGGCACTCTGGTGGTCATCTATAACCTGAAGTTGATGGACAATGGAGATCCAGAGTTGGATGTAGAGACTGATCACCAGGACATCCTCATGGCTGGGACGCCTCTGGAAGGAGTGTAAGTTCGGATTATGCATTCAGTTAAATAACAGAATAACTTAAAGCTAATCAAAAGCAAAGTTCGAGCTTATTGCACTGGTCAGAAATGTTCTGATTATTGTCTCTAACTTACACAGGAAGCCAGAAAGGAGGTCGTTCAGGGCCTACACCGCCGTTTTATACATCGATCCACGCATGAGGATTTTTATCCAGGGCCACAAAGTCCGGACTAAGAGACTGTCCTGCTGCCTTTATAAACCAAGGTCATTTTATTAGCTGATTTGGTGTTTGTGATTATTTTTTATTCAACTAACAAACTTATTTCTGTTTTTCATAACTTTTTAGGGTGTATAAATATACATCGACCCGTTTCAAAACGCGTGCTGAACAAGAAGTGAAGAAAGCAGATCATCTTTCAAAAATCGGTGGGTCAAAGACAGATTTATTTTAATAAATACATTTTTATGTAATCTTTAATTGAACTGGACTTGGTTCTGTTCTGTGTTCCAGCCGAGGAGAAGGCCAGAGAGGCAGAGAGTAAGCGCGTAGCTATGGAAGCTAGATTAGGAGACGACTTGTCAAAAGAATCAAGGGTAAGGAGAGACTTCTGTGGTGAAAATAAGATTTGAAATGTGGCAAGTTTAAAATAAATTGTTTTTCATGAGATCTCTTTTTGCAAACAATAATTAATGCAACAGAGTAAAGAAAATTGCATAAATTTTTGTTTTTTCTTCCACAAAAAGAAACCTTCATATCCTATAATTTGTTACATGCAACACAGCATTCTTGCTGCATTTAATCATAATTATTAGACCTAGATCATGCAGCATGTGCTTAATATATTTTCATTATAAACGTTGTGAATGAATTGTAAAGTTCAGTAAACCACATGTTTATTTTTCAGTGCCACCGTTTAATGACATTCAGAACTCTCTCTCATTCCCGCCTCTCACAGGGCCTCGCGATAGAACAAAAAACAAATCTCGCGAAAACAAGAAATGAGAAACTCCCTGAAAATATACATTTACAGTGAGTTCACAATCTCACTCTTTCTTAAACAAATTTTTTTTTTCATTTTTAAAACATTTTGCTTAAACATAGTCATACAAACTGTAACATCAAAACAAAGGAATATTTTACAAGTGAATGTGCGTACATAGTGCAAGCTCTTTTGTTTTTATTGGCACCACACACCCTCGTCTAGTGCTCTTACGAGTGCAAGAGAAGATGCACCATTTTTGTTAAACAGTCAGCAAGTTGTGACTTTGCATCTGCCCAATGATCCCCTCTAATTTTGTTGGACTGTATGAGTTATTTAATACCACTCATTTCTAATCCAAGTCTCTTTTCTGTGACTTGTTTTGTAGATTTGAGAGCATCAAACAGTGAGTGGTTATCAGTGACACGGATAATGGGTAACATGTTCAGATCAGCTTTACCGGCAGTAATTTCAGAATGAGTGCGGTTAAAAACATGGCATTATCAATACCATCTGACATGGCAAGAGTTTCTCCTGCTAGTGTACTTCTTACAACACGTCTGATTTTCTTAGACTGCCAAAACACAGGAGAGAATCTTCCAGTTTTCCCCATTAAAGCAATGAAAACCCCTCCCTGTGGGCCTCCATCTGGTAGGTTGCACAGTGATGCATCACTGAAGACAACCAAGCACAAATCATCACTGTTATCAATGTGATGAAACTTCAGTGCGACCTTCTCTGACTTGAGTTTCTGAATCACGTTGTTCACCTCATGTATGGACTGAACAGTAGCATGTTTAATGTTGGATGCCAGGCTACAAATATCAAACATAACATCTGGTCTCGTTTGTTTAGCAACCCATAAAACCTGTCCTATTTTAGATCTGAGCTGTTCTATTTCGTCTAGTCTTAGCCCTTAAGCTACTGTGTTGGGCACATGTCCACCTGCTGTCCATCAAAGCCATCTACATTCCAGGCGTCCTGAACGTGGCAGCAGACATCCTGTCAAGAGGGGGCCCCGTGACTCCGACTGGCGTCTGCATCCCGCACTGATATCACAGATCTGGATCAGGTTCGGGGAACCATCTGTGGATCTGTTCGCGGCTCGCGGAAACGCACAGTGTCACCTGTGGTTTTCCCTGAGACCACGGGACCACCCCCCGCTCGGAGCGGACGCCTTCTCACACCAGCCTTGGCCTCAGACGATCCTGTATGCGATTCCGCCAGTCCCACTGATTCCCCGACTCCTGGACCGAGTTTGGTCCGAACGGGGTGATTCTGGTAGCTCCCAAGCGCTTGTCCGCGTCATGGTTTCCAGACCTACAAGCGCTGGTGTCCGGCTCCCCGTAGATGCTCCCGTGGAGGGAGGACGCCCTCCTCTACGCGGGAGGAATAATGAAACATCCTCCAGAAATAGGCTAACGGCTGTGGGTCTGGCCGCTGAGCGGTCACGCTTAGAAGCATCTGGGCTGCCTCGTGATGAGGTCATCACGATTCAGAGTGTGCGTGCGCCTTCTACCATTGCATCTTAAGCTGCTAAATGGGCAGCTTTCCAAAAATGGTGCACAGAGCTGAATGTTCAAGCACTCTCCTGCCAGCTGGCCCTATCGTTTCTGCAGATACTGATGGACAGAGGTGTCGCATTCAGCACTAAACATTTGCTGCAGCTATCTCATCCTGTCACCAAGGTTTTGGAGATAGATCTGTTTGAATCATCCCATCACAAAACGTTTTCTAAAAGGTGTCAGAAGGAACAGACCTGTGTCCCACCCACTATTTCCCCAGTGGGAACCGACTGTGGTTCTGCACGGCTTATCTGAAGCCCCATTTGAGCCCTTGGACCAGATCTCACTCAAGGTCACTCAAAACTGCTTTGCTGCTGTCACTGGCATCAGTCAAGAGAGTGAGCGACCTAACTGCCCTCTCAGTGGCTCCTGCATGCCTCAGGATCCGGGAAGATGGCGGGTCTGCTGTTTTATGCCCCAACCTAGCCTTTGTGCCCCAAAACATTAATACTTCCTTCAATTCCAGGTCAATTTCATTGGCTGGAAAGTAGACTTGAGTACAGGGATAACAATACCCTCAAAATGTTCTGATCAGTAGAACACTGCAGGATCAACTTGTGATATTTTACCACCAGTGTTTAGCAGGATTTCCTAAACTTTGTTGTACCAGTAGAGAGAAGCATCTGCAAGTCCATCGACACATTTCTTTAGCTTCCACAAAACATTTTTTTATGCACGCTTCATGAGGTGGATGGATGTTCCTGGAGAGTTCCATTCCCTGTAAGAAGGCAGATTTAATGTCCATGGAATTAACTTTCCACTTGTTTAGACAGATCACCACTAGCAACAACCTGAGCGACTCTGGGGCACTTGTGGGAAAATCCTTTTGTGACTCATGAATATTAACCTCTTCAAAGCCACGAGATGCGCTTTGGGGACAATGCCATCAGCTGTTTCTTTCAGTGTACAGACCCATCTTGTGGAAATACATTTGTGGCCGTTGTTTGTAACTTCTTCATAAACATTGTTACTTCGCCAGTTTTCCTACTCTTGCTGTTTAGCAGCATCAAAAGAAATGTCTTTGCTGATCAATACATCAGCATCTGTACCTTCAACTTCAGTGTGCAGATTGTTAACCTGAGACATGTCTAAAGCTTGTTTTTGTCCCTCACTGTTATCTGGTGCAATATACTGTACATTGCACCAGATTTTGTATTGCCCCTTTGCCTTTCCTGCTCTGCCTAAAACGCTTGCTGTGCGTTGAGCACCATCATCTGTGTTTGTAAATGTGATCATCTGACCTGCTCTTAGCATTACATCAATATGAGATCCAGTACTTGTTACATCACTCTCTGGTTCATTATGTATGTCTTCTTGGTTGTGTGTCTCATATGTTTCCATATTTTTAGCAAGTTCTTCTTCCCTGTTCCTGCTCAGGTCATCTTCTGCACTATCAATCATCTCTGTGTGAGCCATTTCCTTTTCGATATTTTCAACATGAACAGTAAGCTGTACATGTTTGTATATGTACAGTCTATGGTTTGTCTTCATCTTGAATGTTCACTTTGCGTAGTCTGGACTGGTGTGCCCTAACTAGAATCCCGCCCTGTCTCAAAAACACCACAGCGCCATCCTGACCAATCACCACACCTGGGCCTTTCCATTCAACACTGTCTACTCGTTTGTAGTACACTTTATCTTCTGTCTCATACTTTTCATCTGTTGGTCTGAGTTGTTAATGTAGTGCTCTTCTTATTCTCTTTGAACATTCCATCTCTGTGAAAGCTCTTCTAGAAGCATGTCATGTTTTTAGGTGTTGTCCTACTCGAGAAGTCATGGAAATGCTCTCAAGAGCAGGTGGTTTATCTACCAACACAGAGGGTAGATTGGGATTTTGTCCAAGTTGGTATGGGCTATAACCACGTACATTTATCATACATATTTTGACCATAAGAGCCCAGTTAAAAGCAGTTTGCCAAGTACAGTCATTTTCTTTTTTTTTTTTTTTTTTTACCTTCAGAAGGATCTCAGTTAATGTCATGTTGTGCCTCACCAGTAAACCGTTACTCCAAGGACTGTATCCCGCTGTGGTTTTTGTTTCTATGTTAAACTTTTCCGCCATGTCTCTGATTTCTTCGTTGTTGAATTCTCCACCGTTGTCTGTGTAGATCCGTTTGGGTGCATGAGTGGATGAAAGAGTTGGCAATCTCTGCAGGTTTCTTACTTCTTACAATGTTTCCAGAACTGAAGCGTGTGAAGTGATCGATGATGTGTAGGTACCATACTCCCGGTTCCAGCTCATGCAGATCCATCGCCACAGTCTCATTGTACTCTTAAGCCAAGGGCAGACCAACAGCAGGCTTGGGCTTAGTCTTGGTGTGTTTTTGACATATTTCACAGTCATGAACGATGTCCTGCAGAATGACTGAACAATCTTTATCCTTGTTTCCAGAGCTTTGGATTAGTCTTTGTAACCGGTCAGCAGATGCATGGCCAAACTGTTTGTGTAGCTTCAGTAGGACTTTATGTTTTTCTTTCACTGACATCTCTGCTGTGACCATAAGCACCTCACCTTCATTGTTTCTCAATTTTGCATCATCATCCCAAATGTCCACACAGTAGTGTCAGGAAGTAGTTAGCTCAAGAGGCACTTGCTGCTTGAACATGACAACTTTTTCATTTTCCATGTCCGGGACTGTCCCTGCTCTTTTTAGTGACATCTTGCTCAGAAGCAGAGGAATATCAACTGGAACAACCTCACTTTTAATGTGACATTTTGTTTGGTCTATTTTAGCTGGAATCTTAATTTTTTGTTGGAGAACACTACTTGGCCATCTCCAAATCTGAAAGACTTGCAGCTTGGAGATTCTGTGTTTAGTAGCTTGTGAATCTGGTTTTCATTGAGATCATTTACATAACTTTCCAGCCACTTCTCACCACAAACGGTTCTTGTGCATGCTGTATCAATAATGGCTGATCCCCGTGCTTCAGTTAGAAAAAAATCACAGTCTGCTATAGCCTCTTTAGTGAACAACGTAATGTTGCATTCTGTGTCTTCTGTCTATTTTACATAATTTTTCCGATGAGGACAGTCTTTAGCCCAATGGTACGTACTTTGGCAGATGGCGCATTTGTACCTTGTTGTGGCTGTCCTGTTCCATTCTGTGGTGGACAATTACTCCGTCAGAACTTGTTGGTTGACTTTTGTTCCGTGTAGAAAACTACACTTTGCGTATCACAGCCAATGCTTGTCCCGATGGATTTTCCTCCAAAAATCCACTTCAGTGCTGATTTCATTGATGAAAATGTCAGATCCGTGCACGCCGTAAGTAGCTGTCTGTTCTTCTCCTCGAGACAGGCTGTGTCCAGGAGCTTGAACGCTAGTACAGCATCAGGTAGAGTCATATCATACTTTTTATACGGTTGTATCTTTGTTCAAACGCTATAATGTAGTCTGCCATTGACATTGCAGTCTTTAGATATCGAGTCAAAGTGAGAATATGCTTCATAAGCTCGATCTTTTTCTTCTCTCAGGAAAAACGGTGTCCAGTTTTGTAAGCAAGGTTTCCATACCGTCATCTTTGTTAAGATCCTCTGCGGATATCTCTAAAGCAGTCTCTCTGGCTCGCTTGTTTCTTCTTTTCCAGATCCGTAACAAGTCTTCACATACTAACTTCATTTTTCCAGCATTCGTACGGCCTGGTTTTGTTGAGTTTAGGTGGCATTCTATAGTTGGAAACCATCCTCTGCTACCATGTAAAGTTTAATTAATCACACGTTTATTTTTCTGTGCCGCCGTTTATTGACATTCAGAACTCTCTCTCCTTCCGCCTTCCCGCCTCTCACAGGGCCTCGTCATAGAAGAAAAAACAAATCTCGCGATAAAACAAGAAACGAGAAACTCCCTGAAAATGTACATTTACAGTGAGTTAACATGAATGAATGAAAAAAAAAAGTGTATTCTTTATCCCATCTCAATTGTTACAACCAGGTGTCTAGGGGGCCTGGGGTAACATGGAGGACGCGTGACACAAAGGAAAATTAACAAAAGTTTTATTTACTTTTCTCTTTTTTTTTTTTTGTCTTACTCCAGAAAAGAAACCACCATGGATCAAAAACCCCTTTAACCAAAACAGGTTCAAACACTAAAATGTAACATAACTCTAAAGAGAGCACAAAATCTAAGGTAACAGATTACCCCTAAAGCTTATTTCTTCTTCAATATTAAAGTTCTAAGTGGGAGACAACAGACCAGAGGAAAGGCAGCTCTGCACTATTGTCCCCATTGGTGAGGAGCTCCAGCAGGTCCTTTAAGCAATTTGCGGCTGATGAAAACCCAGCTCAGCTGGTGCAGGGAGGAGCAAGGGTGAGCAAACAGGCCATAGTCTGCAGGCAGGCTCCTCAGATGCAGCATAAAAATGCACAGAAAAATGAAATCACAACACAAAAAGGCTCCAGCCGTAACATCAATGATTAACATGGTAGCACCTTCAACCTCAGTTTTACCATATTTTCATTTTTGTTTTCACCAAAAAGTGTCTTAGGAGCATTTTTAGTTTATTGGTACGAAATGCTCATCTGGTGTCTGTAAATTTTTGCTTCCTCCAAACTTTACAACCTCTAAAAAGTGATATTTGTAAATATTAAACATATATATATGTTTTTGTTCCTTTAGACGATTCTGAGAAAAGTTCAGGATTCAGCCATGATGCTGCGAAGAGATGCCGACATAAGAAAAAGGAATCTCGAAGCCAAACAGAAGTATGTTGAATTAAAAAGATATATTCATACATGTGAGTTTTTACTACATGTCATTTTCAGAGCTGCTTTGTTGTGGAATGGTTTTAAGGTCATTTTTTTGTTATTTTTTAAAAGGAATACCATCTTTGATGCACCTTGATACTTATTAACTTTTATTTCTGCGTGGATCATCGAGTCAATATTGGTGGAACGATGTTGCAGAAATCCCTTCAACTTATTGGTAGCATTTGATGTTTGTGCAGCCATGTGTTAGAAAAGGCCCGTGGAAAAAAACGGCCTTCTCTGTGGCTTCAGTCCTAAAGTTTATACTTTTGCTTTTAATTGAACAGTTGTAAGTGTTTTTTGCATGCAACGGTCTGGCTGTGACACTGATTTTATTGGTCAGATTTGCAAATTAAATCTGCCATTTGTCTGTGTGGGTTTAAAAAAAATGTAATTCTCAGAAAAATGCAAAGTAGTTCAATTATGTTCTTAGTAGATTTCATATTCCTGTCTTGCTTTTTCTAGAGCATTGAAAGAACCCAAGGACTTAAGTTTTATTTTTGGAGTAAATATTGAACAGAGGGACCTGGATGGGATGTTTGTGTACAACTGCTCTCGTCTCATCAAGATGTATGAGAAGACGGGGCCTCAGCTGGAGGGAGGCATGTAAGTATGATACAAACAAGAAAAGTAATCTGTTGTCTGAGTAAATGTTTAACATAAATGGTGGGTTTGTACGCTTCAGGGCTTGTGGTGGTGTAGTTGGAGTTGTCGATGTCCCGTACTTGGTTCTAGAGCCGACTCACAACAAGCAAGACTTTGCAGACGCCAAAGAGTACCGACACTTACTGAAAGCCATGGGGGAGCATCTAGCTCAGTACTGGAAGGACACAAATGTTGGTAAGTTTGTTCTTAATTGTCAGATTGTTTGTCGTCTGCGTTATGTCTCTGCAGGGAGAATCTGAAACTTCACGGAGACTAAAAGGTTTGTTCACTGTTTCATAGAAAAAAAATGTAATATTTATCAGTAGTAGCAGCAGGGATTTTTATAGATGGAGTTCCAGAAACGAGAAGGAAAATCATCAGAATTTTCACAGGCAGCTGCAGCAGTGGTGTTTTCTTTAAGAGAACCAATGTTGTGCTTTTATGTGTTTCTGTAGCCCAGAAGGGCATTGTGAAGTTCTGGGATGAATTTGGATATTTATCTGCCAGCTGGTCTGCACCTCCTTCATCAGAACTGAGATACAAGAGGCGTCGTGCAATGGAAATACCACTTACTATTCAGTGTGGTAGGTCACACATCCATGTCATACTGTGTCACAAAGCAACATCCCACTACAAACTAGGTCTCAGCGTTTGTGTTTTACTTTTAGATAAATGTTTGAAGTGGAGAACGCTGCCTTTCCAGATGGATGCCGTGGATAAACGCTACCCCGACAGTTGGGTGTGTCTCATGAACCCTGACAGCACTCAGGACAGGTACAAACACCTTGTATCGGTTGTGTTCCTAGACTTTATATGCAGCTCTTAACTTTATGTGGACTTAGGTAGTTTTACATTGCTAAAATATAGTTTTTATTTTGGGATTGTAGGTGTGATGCTCCTGAACAGAAACAGAACCTGCCCTGTGGTACTTTGAAAAAAGAAAAACAAACAGCTGAAGACAAAAAGAAAGAATTAGCAGAGAAAATCAAACAGCAGCAGGAGAAACTTGAAGCCTTGCAGGTTTGTTTTTCTCTTCTCTGTTTTTCTCTTTTGTGTTTATCACAGCTTTAAAACCGGATTTATCTCTTTCAGAAAACAAGCACAATAAAATCTGCAGCAGATATCAAGAAACTCCCGCTGGTGGTCAGCAGTAAACCGACAGAGACCTCCTCGCTGGTAAAGGCTCTCATGAGTGTGGCGTCTCCAGTTTCTGTCATATCTGAGATTATTTCACTATAAAATTACTGCTATTTTAGCTTTGATTATGCTATGCTTTTGCATAGTTAAACAATTATTCTTTGCACATTTTTTTCACTAATGAAGCACAGTTCAAGAACAGCTCTGGGGCAAAAGTGTTTAATAAATAAATTTACAGTTCCACTCCCCATCAGTTGTTAGCGGTGACTTTATTTTACATCATAATCTCTCAAAAGACCTCTGTTGTTTTTTTTTTTTTTTTTTTGCTCATTCAGCCAACGAGGTCTTCTGAACGGTCTGCAACTCGCCCACGCTCTCCACCACTCCCAGCTCATCTAAAAAATGCCCCAAGTCTGCCTCCGACACGTGCAGCTTCTCAGCGACCCAGCCGAGCTTCGGCACCACCACCACCACCTAAGGTTGAGCCATCCAGGTCCAGAGTTGCAGCAAAGCCTGCACCCAAAGCTGCTGAAAAAACACCCCTGTCCACCCGCAGCTCCCGGGTAAGTCAAACCGCTCTGTTACCCCCAAATTCCACTACCTCCGCTCCGGTCCTCCCCCGCCTTCCGCAGACGCTCGCTTCCGAACTCAATTTTTCTTGGTACCCGCTCTACAACGGCTCCGCTCCGGTGCGGAGACCTGAGGTGGGCAAACAAGCATGCGCGGGATTTTCGAGATCTTGCGATACAGTCCGAGCAATAAACGTGGAAGTTTGATCCAAACACTCGTGTGGGAGAAGCATCGACATGAACTGTTTAACCTGCCCATCATTTGTGTTGAGAGATCAGCAGTGTTTGGATCAACAAAGTGTGACTACTTTGATAGTAGAAACAGTATTTATGGCTTATTTGTGTGCATTTAAACTTCAGCCGCCATTGATAGTTGTTAAAAGTTGTTAAACCTGTGCATATGAAACAAAAAACGCCTTTTGTTTATCGATTTATTGTGAAAAACGGAAGTTGTGCTTGCTCCTTTTCCTGTTGGGCGGTTGTGATTTCTGTCCATTTACTGCGGAGGTGCTCCGGCGAAAATAGGATCGATTCTATTTTTGCCAGACGCCGGAACAGAGGGCGGCGCACGGCGCCGCACTGCCGGAGCACGGCCGCAGTAGTGGAATTGCTCTGATTGACTACAACGGGACCGATTTTGCTCCTGCGTTCGTGTCGGAGCGGAGCGGAGGTAGTGGAATTTGGGGGTTAGTGGGAGTTTAATGAGTTACAATCAAAAGGATATGAAACAGTCAAAGCTGTCTCCGACCACAGGCCTCCACCAAAGCATCGCCTGTCAAACCTACAGCTGTTGGACAGCGAAAAAGAATAATTGAAGAAGAGGAGAGTGATGAAGAGGAGGAAGAAGAAGAAGAGGAGGAGGAGGAGGAGGAAGAAGAAGACAGTGATGAGGAAGAGGACAGTCAAGAAGAACCACTAACCAAAAAATCCAAGATGGCCACAGCTGCCAGTAACCGTGGTAAAATGGTGGAGAAGGCCTCCCTTCTCAAACGTGCCAAATTAGATGAGGTAAATGCAAAGTTCTGCATTAACATCACTGCTTTGTTTTATATTTATAAAAAATATACATTTAGAATCATTCAGCTCATTAACATCTGTTCAAAATCACATTAAAATAGTAAATTTTGGGGAGATGCCTGGCTACGTGTGGACAGGGCCTCAGTCTGACCTCCGAAGAAGAGGTCGGGGGGAAAAAAAAAGTCTCCTCAGAACGGAAAATGCACATATGACTCCGATGTGAAACTAAATTCACTTCCCGAACCGGCCCGTACTGGCCCAAATGTGAAAGACCCACATGTAGAGTACTGTTCTGTGCTTAATGCAGATTTAATAAATAATCATCCTTACAGAACAACAGAAAGTCACCGTTGTTTTTTTCTAAACTCTACTCTTGTGTTCCTTGGACAAATCTTAGTCACGAGCGTATTAAACTGCTATGATTAGCTTGCGGCACTGTTGGTTTACCACAGCTCTATTTGAACTGAGAGTCAGATCCCTCTGCTATTGGACTTTCAGGTTAAAACACACACTCAGCCTGAGAAGAAAGCGGTTTCTGCTTCTGCACCGCAACCAGCAACCCCACCGAGCTCTGTTAAATCTATTCCCACTCAGCAGCAAGTGGCTAAAGAAAAGGTAGCTTTACAGGCTCTCTCTCCTACCCAACCAATAAAGTTGGGCTTCATTTAATCACCATTTCTAACACCCAAGATAACACCTTTCCCACTTTGTATGGGTGTTCGCCAAAAAACATTCTCTTTTCCTAACAATAACTCTTTTAGTGAAGCAGTCCTTTTTCTTTTTTCCGGTGAGCGTGCCTGCATTACCCGGTATGGGGTGGGACCTGTTTTAATTGACGCCGTATTCTCAGTACAATCTTTCTACGTCTGTGGTTGATATAATTCTTCTGTGTGCAGACGCCTGAGAAAGCTCCTCAGAAGGAACCAGAGAACGACATCAAAAATGCTCAGAAAGGTGAGGTGTTGGACAGTCTTGTATTTATCATGTCACCTGGGAAGGAGGAGTTTTTCTGAACATCTCTTATTTGTTTACAGATAAGGGTCTGCTGGTTGAAGTACGTGTCAATAAAGAGTGGTTCACTGGCAAAGTCATTGCCGTGGAGACGAATAAACAGGATATTCGCTGGAAAGTTAAGTTCGACTACGTACCCCGATCTACTCCCAAAGATCGATGGTAAGATGTCAGCTGGCTACTTTTTCACCAGATCTTGTTTACATAACTGAAAATAAACATTCTTAACACAATGTTTGTGCCATTTTAAGGGTTTTGAAGGGAAGTGATGAAGTACGGTTGATGCGGCCACCATCTCCCATCTCTCAGACGCCCGACACCCAACAGGAGGTAGAGAAAGGCCCGGCACCTATGGAGCCAGACACTACTCAGCCTGGAACCAGTCGAGAGGTGACCGACAGCCTGGTTGCTATGTTAAGGTGAGACAGTTGCTTAAAGCTTTAGAGCTAGCAAGGACTTTTTATATTTGTGTTATTTCTTTTATTCTGCTATTGCAGCTGTGTTGACTGGTGTGTTCTTGTTTCCAGGACAATGTTGCGTTATTTTTACCCTCCTGCCTTTCGGATTCCAAAGGATGATGTTAACAGCATGACATCAGAGGAGTTGGTAGCATTTCCTTTGGTGAGATCCACAATTTATACTCAACCTAAACTAGAAAAATGAAATGTCTTTTAATCTATTCAGAAAATATTGGATGAAAGATGGGAAAATCTTCAGAAGATTGCATTGACTTTTTGACTGATTCGTTTTATTTGTTGTTTTTATTCCCCTTTGGCATATTTAGAAAGAGTACTTTCAGCAGTATGAATCTGGTCTCCAGTCGTTGTGTAACTCCTACCAGAGCAGAGCTGATGCGAGGGCCAAAGCAGTGGAAGAAAAGAACAACAGCGCTGAGCTCAAACTGAAGGAGGCTGATGAGAAACTACAGAAACTACGGACTAACATTGTAGCACTTCTGCAGAAAGTGCAAGAGGTGAACATCTGAATTCATATAGCAACTTTTATTCGTATTATTGATGATCCTCAGAATTTAAATGAACAAGTTTGACCAGTTTGTGGTTAATTAAATGTGAAAATATTGCTAATTAATTTTTCCTCCCATTAAAGGACATTGACATCAACACGGATGACGAACTTGACGCCTACATAGAGGACCTCCTCACCAAAGGTGATTAAAGAAGACAAGAGGAGTTGGAGATGAAGACTTTTCAGTGCTTGCAGTTAACTCCCCTAGTATCCATGTTTAAGAGCACTGGGCAGTGAATATTTGAAAATGTTTTTATTTCCTATTCCCTCCACTCAGTAAATCATAAGTATGATCATTTCTACACTGCTATGATTTTATGATCTTGTGCTTTTTCTTTTAGCCTTTTTATATCCCTCCTCATAGTCTTTGTTTATCTGTTTAAAACATGCTATTCTGATTCACATTTGTGTTTTTGTGTAGGTTAACTTTTGTTTCCTTTTATATATTCAGTTACTGTGATAAGCTACAGTTGGTTCTCCTTGTGTTATTAAAAAAACTCTTAAGGGGAAACATTGCAAGTCACCTAATATTTGGATTTAACTGGTTTTTGCTGTTTCCCACAACAGTAATTTTTATTTTTGTACACTAAAGAAAGTCAGTGTTGCTATTTATCATTGTCCATCTTTGGTTTGCAAACCAAGTAAATCTTTATGTATATGAACCTGCATTTGCGAGTAAAGGTGACTTGCTGGGATTTTTCAAAATCGGTGGTCCTCGGAATGTCATCAACATTTAGAACAGCAGTTATGTCATTCTTTGTAAATCTGTGTGTTAGTACTTGGTGCCCGTGTCTTTTCTTTTTGGAATAAATTAATAATACATGCCATGGCAATGTTTTAACAAACATGCATGCTTAGTTTTGTTCCGATTGGAACAAATTATTCTGTATTTTTGACAAATCTTTACTTAAAACAATAAATCTGTTCAACACCGTTCATGTTTGTAGTATTTTATAAATGTAATGTTGGAAGGTTTATGTTAAGTAAGTCAAGTGTTTAGTTTTCCACATAAATAAAAAGTTTGGATTATAATCGCACATCTTTATAATTTATTAATGTATTTATTGAAATTGTAGGCATTAGAACTACTGTATCCTTCCGTTTTTTAATTTATATTATTCTAGGACTTTTGTACTTCCGCTGACGTCTGTTCCTATTGTATTTACAATTCATTGCGATCTGTGTGGGGCTTTTATTTTGAAGGCGACACTGCTAGCTTGCTGAGCTAACGCCAGGTAAGGTTGTGTGCCCTTTGTTTACATCTCTAAAGCTTGTAGCTATAACATGGAAATGGGTAAATGTTGTTTCAGAAATGTATCAATGTGGTTTTTATAAAGAAATACTGTCTTATGACCGCGAACAGCTTATTTTAAAACGCTTAACTGAGCGTTTGATCAGCTGTGTGAAAGTTAAACTAAACAGAAAAGCCCTGAAAACACTAGGTTAACATTGTTACATAGCCTACACGTTTGAGCTGTCAGACCGTCAATGAAATCCGAAATTAAAATGTAAAAAAGCAAATAAGTTCAGAAAGAACGATAGAGTCGAATGAACTTTGACCCACTTCTCTTGTCTGTCTTTCAATATTAAAGTTCACAAGTAAAAAGCATAAAAAGCTCAGTTAATGACACTTTCCACCTGTTTACTTATCAGGTAATATGGTCACAGAAAAGTTAAAGAAACAAATCAAAATCCAACACGTAAAAGAAGTGATCGTTTTATTGAATAACCATATATCTGCCAGCATACTTTAATAAATACCTTAATTTCAGAACATCACCTCATCATAAAACACCATTAATGAGATTGGCCACAAAGTGATGCCCTTGTTTACTGTAATAATTGTGATGTAAGAATATTAATAAAAGGCTTCCTAAGTTTGATTAATACTTAATGACACCACAACAATACAGCCTGAATAATCCTGATAAGGTTTCTGCATTAATTGACTTTGATCTCGGTTCAGCAGCTTGATCTTCAGCCATGTCTGTGTGGTCAGCCGTCCTGACCAGGCATGGAGTTGGGAGATGTTGCAGGTTGTGGTGTGGTGTCTCCAGACCACTCATCCACACCAGAGCAGTAAGTGTAGCTGAGCCGGGTGCAAGGAAATCTGATGAAGACCAACTCTGGGAGGCAGCTGCAGGTCACCTGCCTTTCAGCAGAGCCAGGATTGGATCATTCTTCCAGGAGCAGCCAGCTTTGAAGAATCCATTTCTGGAGGATGCCTTGCTAAGAGCATACCTCAGGAGACACCTCCCCCAGCAGGTATGTCAAATAGAAATTACCTGACATTAGATTTCTTTATTAATTTATCATTAAGAAATTTTATTAGCAACAGATTTTTTTTAGTTGGGACTTTGTTTAAACCTTTTGACAGGCAGTCTTCTTAGACTTGAGTGCATTTGGAGAGTGTGTGGCAAAAGAAGTGGACACATGGGGCCGAGAGTGTGAAGTCAACCCTCCGCGGCTGGTGCATTTTGATCCCTGGGGGCGGAGAGTGGACCACATTGTGACCTCTGCAGCCTGGAAACGGATGAAGGACCTATCGGCACAAGAAGGCCTGGTTGCCATCGGCTATGAGAGATCATTTGGGGAGTGGAGGTGAGGCTGTCTGAAATGTCTTACGTCATTTGAGAAAACAGTTTTTGTTAAACTAATTGGAAATACTTTGTTTGTTTGTCAGTCGTGTTTATCAGATGAGCAAATTGTACCTGTACTCCCCTTCATCTGGTCTCTACACCTGCCCTCTGGCCATGACTGATGGAGCTGCGAAGGTCATCCAGGTATCCTAAAATAAAGCCCAAAGAAAGAAACTTCATCTTCAACTTAATTACTCATTTACAACTAAACTCTGGTGATTTTTGGTAACACTAAAACATTTACTAGTGCAACTCAATAATAGCTGGAAAAAAACAATTAATTTCTCTGACACATAAAAAGTGTGTGTAAACAGTATAATGAAGTAAATATTTCCTTGTTGCTTTATCTGACTGTAGGACAGGCCAAATGTTAGTTTCCAGTCCTTCTAGCTCAGAGTTTCATCCCTTTAGGGCTTGTGATTGTCTGGATGTGTGTTTTGTAAAGTCTGTAGGTGTTTCACCGCCTGTAGAAGAAGCCTACAGTCGTTTGATCAGCCGTCAGCCTGAGCGTTTCTGGACATCTGGACAGTGGATGACCGAGAGACAGGGAGGATCTGATGTAGGTCAGTAATGACATAATCTGCCCATCTCTAAACATCCTGTTTTATTTTTCTTATGTGAGTATTGGATTGAATTCATGGAAATCCTTACAGATCAGCTGCTTTCTCTGCTCTTATCATCTCCAGGCAGCGGCACTGAGACCGTGGCTGTTCCACAAACAGATGGCTCGTATAAACTGCACGGCCTCAAGTGGTTCACATCTGCCACCGACGCAGACATGACTCTGACGCTGGCAAGAGTGCAGGACAGAACGGGAGCGACCACGGCGGTGCGACTGACTTCTACCACACGTAACGGATCACTCTAGATAAGAGTTCACTGATGCTTTGTGTTTGTCTCTGCTTCACAGGGTAGTCGGGGGCTCTCTCTGTTTTACGCTGAGGTCAGTCGAGGTGAGGACGGCAAACTGAGGGGCATAGAAGTTCAGAGACTGAAGGACAAGCTGGGAACTCGACAGATGCCAACAGCTGAGTTACTGCTGGATGGCCTGCCTGCTTATAGAGTCAGTTTGTTACAATAATAATAATAACAATCTAAAGACTCTTAGATAAAGCCAAACTACCTCATATTGTTCATTAACCTACTTAAGGCTGATGCGTTTGCACCGACGCAACATGGTTTCCATACTTAAATTACCGTAACTCTTAGAAAGTGTCACTCAAACACATTCTGAAAGCTGAGACTCTGCATTATATATTTGCATATAGTAATATTAGTATGTATTCTTGCATATTTTAGGGAATTTTTGCCGTATTTGTTCAGTTGTTTTCAGCTGTATTCCGTGGAGTTTTTAGTCGTAAATTAGATTTGTGTCATACTTTGTAAATAGAAGAAAGAAAACGATCTTTTGTACAGAGCCTCTCAAGATAAAAATTACAAGGAGCTTCACAAGTTTAATTTAAAAATAAATTAAATAAATAAAATTTATACAATAAAAAATATTTAAAAAGATGATTAAAAACATCATAAAAATGAGATAAATGAAAAATTGGGATTAAAAAATGTAAGGAAAGGGAAAGAGATGAATAAGAAAGAAAAATAAGAAAGTCCCAATAGGTGTCACACTGGAGTGTGAAACTTGTTCTCCGCATTTGACCCATCCCCTGGGGGAGTGGTGAGCTGCAGACACAGCTGCACTTGGGAACAATTTGGTGGTTTAACCCCCAATCCAACCCCTTAACGCTGAGTGTTAAGCAGGGAGGCATTGGATCCCATTTTGGTATGACCTGACCATAGATTTGGACCTACGTTCACCCAGTCTCAGGGTAGACACTCGTACCACTTGGCCACTGAGTTGGTCTTTCGGAATCCTTCAGAAAGAAACAAAATCCCTCCAGATTTCCAAATGTGAAGAAAATAGTTTTGCGATCACAACCGCTGAACGTTTCCTCCGTTGACAAGCCAGGAATAGAAAAGGTGCGCTCTGCAAAAACAAATCACTTGTTGGATGTGCAAGAAGGGAAACATTGGGCTCTATCTGCAGCTGGACTGCTCTAAGAGCCTCTCTGGGCAGACCACAAGAAAACCAAAGAAAAGCAACACAACAGCCGTGTCACATGCCCAAAGCAAATTCCATGAATCTTCTGTTTTAGCCTGTCAGCCTCGGCGACGTTTCAGGTGTTTCAGCCACAACAAGTGAGATTTGAATCTGTGGATGTAAGCCAAGAACCTTCAGGAAACTCAACACTGAAATGTTCAAATGTGTTTCAACAGGTGAAACTCAAAAAATTAGAATTATGGTGAAAATGTTCATTTATGTCAGCAATTCAACTTAAAAGGTGAAACTAATATATGAAGTAGACTCATTACATTCAAAGACAGATATTTCAATACTTTATTTGTTATAATTGTGACGATTATAGCTTACAGCTTATGAAAACCCTAAATTCAAGATATCAGACAATTAGAATATTGTGAGAAGATTCTAGACTCAAAGTGCTCTAATCAGCTAATGAATCCAAAACAACTGCAAAGGGTTCCTGAGCCTTTAGATGGTCTCTCAGTCTAAGTTGATTTAGTGAAATAAATGAACTTTTAATTTTTCCAGTTTCACATGCAGCACATTGAACTTGTCTGTAATATGGACATCAGATGCAGCTCATGTCTATTGAAAGAAATGATTTTGATCTCTATGATCTTTATTAGCTTAAATAAGCTTAAATCAGATGTGTTTTCCATATCATCAGCTGTCAGAGGAAGGGAGAGGCGTGGCCTCCATAGCGAACATGCTGACCATAACCAGGATTCACAACAGCATCTCTGCAGCCGCTGCAATGAGAAGGCAGGACACCATTCCTAATAGCTCCTCATCACAAAGTCATGCCAGAAGTAAGGTGATTAACCAACGTGTGTCTTTGTGTGTTTTTTCCTCAGAATTCTCCAGTTGGCGCGTGACTACGCCACTCGCCGCACTGCTTTTGGAAAGCTTCTTAGGGACCACCCACTGCACATGCAGACTCTGGCCAGGATGGAGGTGAGCCAGCAGCAGGAGAGATTCAAACAGCTCAGACTTTTATTTCCCATCATTCCTCACTTCCACCTGACTTTTGACAGGTGGAGACCCGTGGAGCATTTCTCCTGGTAATGGAAGTGTGTCGCCTACTGGGCCGAGAGGAGAGCGGCCTGGCCAGCCAGCTCGATACGCAGCTCTTACGTCTGCTCACTCCTGTCGTAAAACTGTACACCGGGAAGCAGGTACGTCACGATTGTGAACACGAGTTAGATTACAATCTGCGTGAATGCTTCGATGTGTTTGTCTCAGGCAGTGGCTGTCGTTTCGGAGGGTTTGGAAAGCTTCGGTGGACAGGGCTACATCGAGGATACGGGGCTGCCTGGAATGCTTCGGGATGCTCAGGTCACATTGGTGCCAACAGTTTTTATCTGTCTTTTTCCTTGTTGATTGCTCACATTTTTTTTTATTTTTTTTTATTGAAGGTGTTGAGTATATGGGAGGGTACAACCAATGTTCTGTCCCTGGATGTGCTTCGCTGTGTGGCTCGAAGCTCAGGGATGGTTCTGCATGCTTATTTTACCCATGTCCAGGTATGACAGGAGGAGTAGACCGCTCACAGAGAGCTCAATAACTGCAGTTTGTGACAGGACTGAACAGAAATGTCTTATTTTGTCTCAGTCGCTGCTTGCAGGTGTGTCTAATGTTTCCTCAGTAGCTCCTGCTGTGAAAGCAGTGGCTGGTGCTCTGTCTGAACTGGAGGCGTTTGTTCAGATGGCTGCAGCCAGAGAACCCGGATACCTGGAGCTAGCAGCCAGAGATCTGGCATACAGCCTGGCTCGTATCTACGCAGGTGTGTACTTCACAGGCTCAGATTGAATCAGAGCTGCTACATTTAGCTTACTGACCAGCCTGAAGGCAATAAGCTAAAAACCATCTGTATATGTACTATTTGTATACCTGCACACTAATTATTTACCTCTCTAATCCGTGTTAACAGGTGCCCTACTCGTTGACCATGCTTGCTGGAAAGAGGCCTCCACACACGACATCCATGCTGCTCTCAAGTAAACTAAACAAACTTCACAAGCATGCTTGAGTGCCTCGGAGGAATTAAAATATGTTTGCTATGAACTCAAAATAATGCTGTTTGTATTTTCCTGCATCAGGTGGTGTGAACAGGACTTGTGTCTCGTTGCGTCTAAACAACAGAGAGGCTACTATGAATCCGGCACCGCAGCACTCGATGCTGCGCTGGTTTATGAGTGATCGTTGAATTGAATGTAATCGTTAAATTAATATGACATCACTGAGATACTTTTTTTGACTGAATTAAAAGAAACATCTGTACTAAACAAGCATAACTAGAAGTATGTTCTTAAAACGATGTTTTTGTCTGTTAGAACAGGTTTAGATTTTCAATTTTTTTCAATTCATCTAGAGCAGGGGTGTCAAACTCATTTTAGCTCAGGGGCCACATTGAGGGAAATCTAGTCCCAAGTGGGCCGGACCGGTAAATAAAAAATAAAAAAAAACTTCAAATTGTTTTCTTTGTTTTAATACAATCAATATAAAACAAGGCTGGAGCCTGAAGACAGTGTAGTACAAGTACAACACCTGAAGTGTACTTGAAAATTTGAATTTTTTTTTTTAAATCAACAAATTAAAAAAAGCATTCCTTGGTGATTCTAAGAGCTTACAGATCACATGGCTAGATCAGTTTCATGCAGCACTTAAAGTATATTTGACTCATTTTACTTTACATCTTTTAGCTTTCACCAGCACATCAACATCAAGTCACATCCTGAGTGGCGGCCAACTTCAGGATGTGATTCAAGTTCTTGTGTGAGCCTTGAGCGCAGCTTTGTTTTATTTATACTCATTACAGAGAAAACTTGCTAACAATGATAAGTTTATTTTCACTCTACATTGTAAAGTATGAAAATAAAGTTTACACAACCATCTCGCGGGCCGGATTTAACCCGCTTGCGGGCCGGATCCGGCCCGCGGGCCGCATATTTGACACCCCTGATCTAGAGGATATTTTCCCTTTTGACTGTGATATTCGTTAACATCTTATCAGTCCTACAGTTATTAAATAAGCGATAAGTAAACATCAGTTATTCACATCTGCTGAAGTAGAGATCAGAGGAGGTGAGGAAGGCTCTAATTCTGCTTTACTTCATGGATCGTTGGAAAAAAGAAATGCATGTAGTGGCTCGTGTGAGGAGTTACTTTAGACTGCTGGTCAATTTTCTTGCATAATGATGTTTTTACATGCAATGTTTTGTTGTAATCAGTGATAGGAAAAGTTGCATATTAATGAAGAAATAAAATCCACCAGTTTAATGTTCATAATTTGTATCTTGTTTCATTATTTTTGTATTTAGTGACTATATATATATATATAAACTATGTACGTTTTAAGACATTCATTCTGTTTAGATTCAATTCAAGTTTATTTATATAGCGCCAAATCACGACAAGAGTCATCTCAAGGCACTTCACATAATAAACATTCCAATTCAGGTCAGTTCATTAAGCCAATCAGAAAAATGTTTCCTATATAAGGAACCCAGCAAATTGCATCAAGTCTGACTAGTGTCAGTGACTTTACAGCAATCCTCATACTAAGCAAGCATTTAGCGACAGTGAAGAGGAAAACTCCCTTTTAACAGAAAGAAACCTCCAGAGAATCCCGGCTCAGTATAAGCAGCCATCCACCACGACTCACTGGGATGGAGAAGACAGAGCAGACACACACACGTGCGCGCGCACACACACACCAAGCAATGTGTCTATGGTTACATTGTGATTTCTTAGTAAATATTCTATTTGGTGAGAGATAAACTTTATTGTATTTATCCTAGTGAATCTATAAACCGGTAAACTAGCAGTAGCACATCCAACGTCAAGGAAAGCAAAAAGTTATTATCAGGAGAGGGAGAATGTTTAAGTAGTTAGCAGCAGTGTGCTAGACGATAGCCCCCTCCATGAGGCTACCACAGCTCAGCAGAACATCATTGTAGCTTCTTCTGGGGAGAAAAACACTTAGAGAAAAAATAAAGTTAACAGCTGAAATTGCAGAAAATAATACAGTTAAAGAGCAGATTTTAGAAGAAAGTAGTAGAGTGTGAAAAGTATTGTCAGTGTATCCTCCAGCAGTCGAAGCCTATCAGCATAACTACAGAGATAACTCTGGATAACCTAGCCTTTTTAGATGGAGGCATGTTGGAGGCAGGGCAAGGGAGAGCCGTCTTTACGGACTGTACACTCCACCGTCCTTTACTCCCCCACTTGTCCAGATCTAGGCTAACATCAGATTTTAACCATAGGCCCTATCAAATAAAAATGTTTTAAGCCTAGTCTTAAAAGTAGACAAGGTGTCTGCCTCACGGACTAAAGCTGGGAGCTAGTTCCACAGGAGAGGAGCCTGATAACTAAAAGATCTGCCTCCCATCCTATTTTTAGATATTCTGGGAACCACCAGTAGACCTGCAGTCTGAGAGCGAAGTGCTCGGTTAGGAACGTATGGAACAATCAGATCACTGATGTATGATGGAGCTTGATTATTAAGAGCTTTATATGTGAGAAGAAGGATCTTAAAATCTATTCTGAATTTAACAAGTAGCCAATGTAGGGAAGCAAAGACAGGAGAGAAATTATGTCTCTTTTTAATTCTCATCAGAACTCTAGCTGCAACATTTTGGACAAGCTGAAGACGTTTAACTGCATCTGTGGACTCCCTGAGAGTAATGAATTGCAGTAATCCAGTCTTGATGTAATAAATGCATGAACTAGTTTTTCAGCATCACTCCTGGAAATGATACTTCTAATCTTAGCAATATTCCGAAGGTGGAAAAAGGAAATCCTACAAACCTGTTTAACCTGGGATTTGAATGACATGTCCTGGTCAAAGATAACACCAAGGTCCCTTACTTTGTTCTCGGAGATTAATGTAATGCCATTCAGGTCAGGTGATTGACTAAGCAATTTCCTTTTCTGGATTTCTGGTCCAAAGATGAGAACTTCCGCCTTGTCTTGATTTAAAAGCAAAAAGTTTAGAGTCATCCAATTTTTTATGTCCTCAAGACAAGCCTGTAATCTGCCTAACCGATAAGGTTTATCAGGGTTAATGGATAAATATAACTGAGTATCGTCAGCATAACAGTGGAAGTTTATCCCATGCTGTCTGATGATTTTACCAATTGGGAGCATATATATAGTAAAAAGAACTGGTCCAAGCACTGAACCCTGTGGTACTCCACAAGTAACCCTGGAGTATGAAGACGATTTCTCATGTACATTTACAAAATGAAATCTATCAGACAGGTAGAATTTAAACCAGCCTAGCGCTGTTCCTTTGATCCCTACAACATGTTCAAGCCTTTCTACAAGAACATTGAGATCTACTGTGTCAAAGGCAGCACTGAGATCTAACAAGACTAGAACTGACACAAGATTCTTATCTGATGCCATGAAAATATGGTAGAATATGGAGAAGATGGTACTTTTTGCTCCTCTGCTGTTAAGTAATAGTATTAATGCTTTATATTTACCTGAAAGCTTTATTTAACGGTTAGTTCACAAATGAGATTTTTTAATTTTTTTTCACTGAATAAAACCTCCAGACATTGTAAAACATCTTATTGCGGAGTGCTTGAAAGCATAGCTAAAACACTGAACTGAGAGTAAAAATCAGGTATTTTAGTTATTTAACAATTGGTAATAATAATAGATAAGTTTGCTTGTGGCTGATATGTGCTGATGATTTTTTTTTTTTTTTTTGCAATTTTCATGGCTGACATCTAGACTTTTTCCACCTTATTTTCATGCTAAAAGGTCTCTAATAATATTAGTTGCCCAAAATTTTTGAAGCTGAATCCGTTTTTGAACATTGAATTTAAGCAAAGTTAAATCTCAATTTTGTGCAAGACTCAGTGTTAAAACCAGACATCTATGTCTATGTATTTAGCAGACACTTTTGTCCAAAGTGACATGTAATCAAGCCATCATGCTTTTGAGGCTCACAACAAACACTATTCAGTCAATCCTAGGTGGCAGTGAGGCAGCATAATCAATCATAGAGGGAAGCGAATATGTAGTGTGCAGTAGAGTGGGGTTTAGGGTGCTGGGAGGGTGTTAGTTTAGAAGACGCTCTCTGAAGAGCTGGGTCTTCAGGAAATTCTTGAAATTCGACAAGGAAGCTCCTGTTCTAGTAATGCTTGGTAGGTCATTCAACATCTGTGGAACGATAAATCAAATTTAAGTCGATCAAACAAATCATTTAGCTGACCAAATATTAAGTAAAAATAAATTGAAAATAGCTGAAAAATAATTTTGAGCATTATCTTGCAGAAGTTCTTCAGGAGCGTAACTATACATTTAAATTAAAATCTGTAGATGCACCGTGCTGCCCAAGGATGTGCCCGACTTTAATTCTGCTCTGCCGATATATAAAACATGGTAAATATTGGCCCTGTATATTGGACGACCAATATATTGTAGAGATAATGGAATTGGTACCGATACCGATTCCAGTATCAGTATCGGTAAAAGTTAACCGATACCAGGAACTGATACCAATGCAGTTGCTTGAAAGTGGCTTTACTGTAACTTGTCATTTCTGTTCACCTAATATTTTATTGTTGTGATGATTTCTATTCATATATTTTACTTTTTGTCTACCTCACAGTCTTTTACGGTTGAAAGCAGTGACGAAAATAAAACCTGTATTCCAATTCATTGCATTTTTTGTGTGTGTGTGGTAGAAGTATCGGTATCGTATCGTTTTGGAAAAAAGTGGTATTGTTGCATCCATAATATCTTGGTCTACCCTTGTTATCATATCAGCTGTGCAACTTTTCGGTTCATCTATTGTTTTCTTACGAAAATATTTTTAAAATATTTGAACAAAACAAAGAAAGCAAATGTGCTGTATTGAAAAGCAGTATATTACATATCACCCTCATCATTAATAAGAATAATACAAAGAATACAATCTTTACTTTCACCTATATATAGAAAGCACATGCATTCTTTTTTCGTTTCAACCTTAGCTACATTATTTGATGTTAAAGGTTTAAAAAAAAGAAACACAATCTTGCTCACAGCTTGACTGAATCTTGTTGTTTGTGATTGATTGTAAATTCTCGGTTTTTGCGGGGTCCTTGAACGCAGCACTCTGGTTAGCAAACAGTGGGCGGAGTCTAAATCAGGCTGGACGAATTGTTCACGTTCACGTCGACACCTAATCTGAGCTTGTTTGCAGCAGGAGACATGAAGCTTTCTGCCAGAACAACAACAACAACTAGGATGACTTGCTGGTTTTAGATCCATCGTCCTTGTTTCGTCGCTGTCAGATCCAAAGTAACGGCCATGATGGACGCAGCTCCTGGATGAAGTCAATCATGTCTGTCAGTGTTTTCCTGTCACTTTTCCTGGCGCTGCTGCTGTGTGGCCAGCGGGCTGCCTCGGGCTCCCGGAATCTCCTGACTGGTGTCGGGTTATCTGGAGGCTCCTCCGGTACCGCCTTAACCATGATGTCAGAAAACAGCAATGATGAGGTCAGTGAGACTTATTATTAGATTTTGGCTTTAATATAAAAAAAAAGTCCGTGACCAAACACCTTCGGTGAGTCATAAGGGTTCAGGTGTCACATGACTTATGGGAAACTACAGGTACGAATAAAACCAGTTCCGTTTGATCTGATCAGACTGGTTCTGTCACTCAGCGGAAAGACAGAGTGGTTTATGAGGCTGATTCTTTTATTCGAGCAAATAATAATAATAATAGTAAAACATAATAATAGTAAAACAGTGGTAATAAGCGTGTAGCAACAGGGGATTAATAATATTTTCATTAATTAATAATAAAAGATAAAATAAATATAAATATGCATAAAACTGGAAGGATGACTAAACACTTTATTATATCAATGTTCTGCACCTGGAGATATGTTATTATGTATTATAGGCTCACGTGTTTTATGTCATGTGCAGCTTGTGCTGTTTAGCAAAAATATTATCTTCACATAAATCATTATAATGACGAGACATGAAAACACAGATGCTTCTACCCTGTCATCAGCGTGTTTTAATAATCACGTGAAAAAGTCGTGTTTTTTCTGTGTTTTCTTGCATTTGCAGTGTGACCTTGTGATGAACTACAACATTACAGACCGCTGCGGATTTGTGAAGAGGACTCCTGACTGTGACATGCAGGATGGCTTCTTGAACTACCTGGATCTGGCCTTCTGCTTGTTACGGCCCAACCTCTATCCTCTCACTATCACTCTCTGTGTAAGACCTGCATGTGGAACATTGTCAGTAAACAGAACAAAAAAAATGTTCATCTCTGTATTAAGCAAAGAGGAAGTTGCAATAACCGAGGGAGAAGCAGGAATGTTCAGTCATCTGAAAGGATTTTCACTGTTTGCTAAAGAGTAGGATATCTGTCAGGCAAAGATTTTATTTTTGCATCATTATTGCACCATTACACAGATGTTCTCTGGTTTGTAGTGCATTTGTTCTCTCAGCAACAGCATGCATGACTTTACTCATCCCTCCACAGGTTGTATGGCTCTTCTTCCTGTTTGTCATTCTTGGACTCGCCGCTTCCAAGTTGTAAGTCTCTGTTTTGGTGCTTCCTCTAAATATGCTCAAAGTTTCAGAAAGTGAAGGAAAAGACTTTGCTCAATCACACACACACGCACGCACATGCACACAGACCTACACACACACACACACTCAGATCTCAGCATTGTCAGCTTAGCAGTCACATGAGAAGGAGTCACATGACTGCAGAGAGTGTTGAGGTTTTATCAAAGGGAGCAGGTTTACTTTTAGGTTCCCCACTGCAGCTGAACACTAGAGAATTTGTTAAATGTTTAATGTATTGTGGACACTCAGAAATTAATATAGTTTATTTTTCTTCTTTTTTTCCAGTTTTTGTCCCAACCTGTCAGCCATCTCCTCCAGTCTCCACCTCACTCACAACGTGGCCGTATCCTTTCTCTGAGCCTTTAAACTCCCGCAGCAGGTTTCCTCTGCCTGTACAGAATCCCTGAGTGTTTGATCTAATTTGTGTGTTTGAGAGACGTTTTCTTTAACTGTGGTCCGTGCTGAGGGCGTGACGTTTCTCGCTCTGGGTAACGGAGCTCCAGACATCTTCAGTGCCATGGCAGCGTTCTCCCATCCGCACACTGCTGGCATGGCTGTCGGAGCCCTGTTTGGTACACACACTCTTCTTCTGTCCCCCATACGTACAAAAAGGAACTAAACGATTCTCTGAAATGATTAAACACGTGTGTCCTTGCAGGAGCCGGTATATTTGTTACAACAGTTGTTGCAGGCAGCGTTGCTCTGGTAAAACCTTTCCCGGTGGCCTCCCGGCCGTTTCTGCGTGACGTTGTCTTCTACATGTGTGCAGTATTCTGGACTTTTCTCATGCTCTACAGAGGAACCACGACTCTAGGAGAAACACTGGGTACACACACACACACACACACACACGTTATTACTTGTCTTGTTTGTTGTCCATTTATCAGATCATTTAGATACCCATCTAAAGATTTATCTTACATTTAGAGTTGCAACACAAGCTTCACTAAAGTAAAACTTTTACATCCTTCCAAACAAAGCTCCAAGCCAGATTTGCTCTCAAACAATAAAGAATGCTGTAATTACTGCTTTAGTTTTCCTCAAAAGTCAGAAAGCTTTACATTCTTTATTGCTGTCTTGTTGTGCTGTCTGTTTCAACCGTGCCAGGCTAGAATTTCAAGCATGTTCTTGTCTTGAAACAACATCTGAGTGCAGCTCGGAGTCACCCAGCCATGCCTTTATTCTCTGTAAACTTTACTGCTGCACAAAAAAAACCCACATGCACCCATCTGAGGTCTGACTGTGCTTTGTGTTATTGCTACAGGTTACTTGGCGCTCTATGTGATCTACGTTCTGACCGTTATTATCAGTGCTTTCATCTACAATCGGCAAAAAAACTCAGTGAATACGACGGTCCAGAGTGATTCACCTTTTCCAGGTTGGACTTTTACTTCTCACGTGAAACAACCACTAAACTGTTTCCATTGTTCTTAATTAATTAATTAATTAATTAATTGTTCTCTGAAGCAGAACTGAACTCATCTGACTCCTCTGATGATGATGACGATGGGATTCACTGTTTGATAGACGAACCGGTCCAACAGGTTTATGGTAGGAATTCTGCATCCTTATGAGGAAATGCTCTCCAGTAGTTTTCTGTATGATCAGGACTATCATGTCCACTTGTGTTGGTCCTGTAGAGTCGGAGTACAGACCACTCCTGCCTTATTCTGAGTCCACAAGTCACATCCTGCTGAGCTCTTTGAACCCAGTGGACAACAGGAGGTGGAGACGGAAACCACTCAGCTGGAAAGTTTTTAAAGTACTCAAGGTGAGCCTAAACTTAGTTACCCATAAGACTTAACTCACTTAAAACTCTAGATGTAATGTGCTTTTATCTTCTGCTTGCCAGTTTCCTCTGGAGGTGCTGCTGCTGCTCTGTATCCCTGTGGTGGACCCCGACAAGGAGGACAGAAACTGGAAACGCCCGTTAAACTGCCTCCATCTGATCACCGCTCCTCTGGTGTGCCTGCTCTTCTTCCAGTCTGGAAAATGTAAATGCATCACCTTACATAAAAAATAGGAAATATGCAGTCTAATTATTAGTATTTTTTGATTTTGTTTTTATTCTAGATGGAAATAAAATGATCCAGGATCAGTTTCCTCTCTGGGGTCTGGTTCTTCTGCTGGGACTGTTTCTGGCTGCTATCGTTTTCTGCACAACCACCAATGATCATCCTCCCAAATATCACCCAGTAAGTGTGTTTTAGATGCTGCTGCTACAGTCTTAACTAGAACCAACAGAACCGAGCACACCACTTCTGTTCTTAAAGAGCAAGTCACCCCCAATCAACTTTTTTTTCTGATAAACTATATAAATGCGTGTCTAATCGTGCTGCAGACACGTGTAGTCAATAGTTTTGCACTTTAGTGCATTTTAGTTAAAATTTAAATTTTCTGTCTAAAACTGTCAGTGTTGTGCCGTTATCAGGTAAAAACTCTGCACTGCATTTAAATTTAAATCTTCCATCGCCATTGGCTAAGAGGTACGCTAGAATGGTAGCTGGTACCATATGATGTCACAATGTCATTGTGAGCCTGTGTGTGTCTATTTGTTAGCGTCTCCGCCCTCTCGGTCTGCTAGGCAATAGCATTTGTTGCATTTTTCAAACAGGAAGTAATGGAGTAACAGTCTGGTAGGGGGTGACTTGCTCTTTAAATCTCTACACTGGTTACCAGTAAACTACAGAATCAACTTCAAAGTGCCTCTACTAGCTTATAAATCACTCAATGGCATGGGACCAAAATACATGTTGGATCTCCTTCCTGTTTACACGCCCAGCAGGGCTCTGAGATCCTTGGGAAACAGTCAGCTGGTAGAGCCCCGGGCCAGAACCAAACAGGGTGAAGCTGCACACAGATCAGCTTCCTTGTGATCTCACATCTGCCCCAACTGTTGTACCCTTTAAATCAAAACTGAAAACTTTCATGTATTCCTCAACCTTTGAATAAGTGTTTCTTATGCTGCACCTTCTGCACAGTAACTGCTCACTTTGTTTTCTATGATTCTTAAATTTGAAATTAATTTGTGCATTTTAATTGTGCTGTCACATTATTTTAATGTTCATGCTAATTTCGCTAATAGAAAGCACATTGAATTGCCTCTATGTATGAAATGTGCTATACAAATGACCTAGTATCACCCATCACCTCTCATGTCAGAGTTTTCAACTAAATCTTGGTCAAATCAGGACAATAACATTGGTTGCTATCTCACGCAACATTTTGCACGATCTTCCACCTTCTCAAACTTTTTCTCCGTGTCTGTAAATTGCAGTGATATGTCCACTTTTCTGTTGGCTTAGGCTGATCAGCAGTGATCCAGTGATTGCTTTTAAAAATGTCATTAAAATTAGTCCAGAATTGGCCATCGTCGCTGTCTCAGCGATATTTGCAGGGTTTTGCGGTGGTAAGTGTGTCTAATCTGTCATTCTCTGCTCTCCCTCTAGCTTTTTGCGCTGTTGGGTTTTGTAGTGAGTGCTGTGTTGATCAGCGCAGCGGCCTCAGAGGTCGTCAGTCTTCTGCACATGCTCGGTGTGGTTCTGAGTCTCAGCAACACGGTGCTGGGGTTGACTCTTCTGGCCTGGGGTAACAGCATCGGAGGTGCTCGCTGAGACACAAAGTCTGATTCTCTCCAGCAAACGTAAGAAACCTTCTGAACTGTGTGGCGTTTCTGTTTCAGACTGTTTTTCTGACATCACCATCGCTCAGCAGGGCTACCCACGCATGGCCATATCTGCCTGCTTTGGAGGCATCATTTTCAGTATCCTTTTTTTCATGTTTCACATTTTCACGATCACCTTCGGGCACTGAAGAGGACCTTGACTGCGTTTCTCCCAGACATGCTGTTGGGAGTGGGTTTGGGATGTGTTGGGCAGATGATTCAAACAAAGTCTAACGTGCAGGTATTTTTCTCTAGCATCCAGAGATGTCACCATGATGAGATGGTTCAGGAAAGTGTCATGATGACCTTTTGTTTCTGATTTTCTCTTCCCAGTTTGAAACGGAGGGACTGTTGACGTGGATCCTAGCAGCATCCCTGGGCTTGTCCTTGGCTCTGTCTTTCATCATCGTCCCACTCAACAACTTCCAGTTAGGTCGCAAATATGGGATCTTCCTCCTCGTCTTCTACATCATATTCCTCGTTATTGCTCTTCTCGCGGAGTTTCAGATAATCCACACCTGACCGACCATCCGGACCTTCAACCACTCAGAACAGTATTTTACTGTGATTAAGAAACAAACACTGGAAAAGTCTTCTCCTGCACCAAATAATCCACCATTGAGACATTTTTTTATTTATGTAGAATTTGTTTTTACACCTTTAAGTGTCAAATTAACAGAAAGCTGACTTTTCTGCTCAGGGAGGACTGAAACCAATCACCGTGCCTTCACCCCTCATTTCTGGCATTACTGAGTCCTGAGAGACACATGATGTAGAAATGTTTGGATTTAAATCTTGATGTGCTTTAAATCAAAAATATTTAAATTTTAAAAAGCTGTGAAATTTGGAACAATGATATTTTTTTATATAATCATCAGCATTTTTACAAAGCAAATACAACACGTGCCTTTGACTATTAGAATAGTTTATTAAAACCTTCTCGTGTTACAGAATGAGAAGTCATATGTAAAATACTCAGTCTGCTGAGACCACTAGGAGAAACTTTACACTGTAAATTTGCTGGAATGAGCGAAAAGGAGTGTTAAGTGTTTATTTTTTATTCTTTAACTAGTACAGATCCGTGTTAATACTGGTCAGGTAGGCCGTTAAACTAAGGCATCGGGTTTAAATACAGGATTTATAATAACACAGGCCCTGCAGAAGAACAAGTACACGACAGATGGTGCTAGTAGATGCTTTCTGGTAGCTTGTGCTGCGACTCCAACACTCCGGGAGATCCGGTTTGTTGTTCACCCCACTGACGGTTGTGAGTGTCTGAGAATTGAAAGTGCTCGAGTTTCTTCTCTTCGGGTGATGAGAACATGCTAGTTAATGCTGTGCTGATCACTCAGAGAGTTCTGCTCAGGTTCTGACAACGAACACGAGTCGGAGCCGAAACTTCCGCCTACTGTTCTCAGGCTCTGATCCAGCTGAGGCAGGTTTTTCCTGGAGTACTCCGAGTACCACTCCTGGAAAACAAGACGAGTGATGAGAAGAAGTTGCAACTACAGCCGTGGAATAAAAGCAGTTTCTCACCTGGATCTCTTCCTCGTACATTTTCATACTGAGGTCGCTTTTTGTCCTTGACCTGCGACCCAGGTACAGCAGAGACGTGTGCTGTGTGCGACACAGGAGGTGGACGTGTTTAGCTTGGCTTGTTTTTCTAAAGGAGAAGTGAAAGGTGTGTGTTCTTACCCCGCTCCTGTCCATAGACTGTAGTACTCGAACCAGCGAGCTGAGCGAGGACGGCCCAGGGGACATCTGTTTGTACAAATCCAGAGTGGCCAGAGCTTCATCTTGCTTCACTTCTACATCAAACACGATCCCGTTCTCATCTGCAGCACAACCACAAACACGCTGACCATCGGCAGAGGAAATAACCTCTTCAGCTGTTCTCTTTAAAGCCTCCACATGAACATTTATTCTCTTTACTGACAGACTAAGGCTCACTCACCCTCTGGATTATCCACCTGTTCCCGGTTCTTGCGGCTGTAGTTCATACGGAACACAAACGCATCCAGAATAAAAGCTACAATGATGGTCATCACCACCTGGAGGCAGATGTTTACACCTGTCAAATCGTCTGAGTCAACAACAGTTAACTAAAAAAAAAAAAAACCATACGCCTCACCATGGTAACGATGTAGAAAGTCATGAAGTACAAACGGCTCCAGTGGCTCGTCATGGACGTCACTCCTTCCTAAAAGGAGAGAAAAAGACATCAGCGGTCAGACGACACCACCCGCTGGTCAGCTGTGAGCCTGCAGGATGGAGACTGCTGCTACACACTCAGCTGCATCGTACCATGGTGATGTACCAGTTGTTGACCACGGTCAGCTCGAACAGGGTCACTGGAGGTGAAGCACAAAAGAATCATTGCCTTCAACCATCCGTGTTAATAAAACATGAAACAGTGTAAACTTTTTAAGTCCAATGGAAATCCTTTTTTTTTTTTTAAGATTTAAAAACAAAAACTACAAAGAACCATCCGAAAGTTCCACTTTCCTTTATCTCTTCATGCAACCAAAGAGCCAGATTTTATAAAACAAACATGGTTTTCATTGAGCTTTGGGTATTTTTTATGTCACTGGATGAATCAGATTAAATTGAAGAGATTCAACACAAGTCCCTAAATTAGAATGACATTCCAACTTTTCTGAGTCATGACAGCTAAAGCAAGTAGCATTTAGAAAACCCTAAAACAGTGCAAACAACAAATGCTGCACTTGTAAGACAAAATGAAAGGGTCAAGTTATTAAAGCTTCAGCAAAAATGAGGTTTTGGCTTTAGACCTTTGCACACTGCAGAAGGTATAAAAGAACATGAAAGTTACCAAAGCTGCTGAGGATGTTGTTGAAGTTATTGAGATAATAGTAGCCTTCCTCCAACACCGTTCTGTTGCCTTCAGTGATGTTGATCTGCCTGTAGGAGTTTGCCACGGTGCTGGTGCTGAGTTTTGAACATAAAGACTTAAAAAGTCATTAAAATGACCTCATCTTGTCTAAAGGTGTGGTCCAATACAAAGAATTCTGCTAACAGATTCAAGCAAACACGATTCTCACTTGCAGCAGTTGGGGTAAACTACATCTGCAAAGAACTCCATTCCCACAATGGCAAAGGAATAATAAAAGATGATCAGAGTCAGTCCCAGACTCGCCATCCTGGGGAAGAGCTCAAACATGGTGTCCAACACGTTCCGATACCGCTGCTTTATCTTAAATAGCCTGCGAAAGACGAACACGGCAAAAGAAATCTAAAAGATTTGTCACAAAAAATATGTAAATCTGATTGAAACAAGATGAGGAAAGCACACCGGAGCAGCTGGAAGGGTCTGAGAACTACGATGAAGTAGAAGGGCTCCATGTTGAAGACGAGAGCGATCAGCCCGAGGAAGGCGAACGCGGTCACGGAGAAATCGAACCTGAACACACACCGACGGGTTTATCAGCAAACACACACTAACAACATTCAGGACATTCATGAATGCATTTGTGTAACTTAGAAAAGGACAAAGATAAAATAAAAACATACAATCTAAAACAACCTTTTAGCTTTTTTAAAGAATGTGTTACTTACAGATTCCACCCAGAGCTGAAATAAGCCATGGGACCCAAACCAGTTATCTTCAACAACACTTCAATACCGTAGACTAAACATGGAAGGAGCGCAGGCAGAGTTAAGTCTAAATATCTGGTTTTAATCTAAAATTGTTACAGATCTGTTTGAACTTTGTTTACTCACTCGTCAGGAAAATAATGTAACTCAAGGGAACAAATTTGGACCAAGAATATCCACCTGCGTGATCATTAGAAGGTTAAAGATCAGCATAGAGTTCAACACACGTCCTCCACTGTGTGTACGTGTGTGTGTGCTCATCTTACTCTCCAGTGTGAACGTCTCCACAAGGATCCACACAGCATTGACGGCCACGACCACATCTGCAGCCAAACAAGAGCTTTTAGAAGTCTGAGGTGAAAGTTTCCCTCTGGGAAAAGCTGGAATGACACTTACACATGGCGTACTGGAAGGCCTTCGACTTCACAAGCAGGTAGATTCCTGGTAAAAGAGGACAGCACTCGTAAACAGACTGTGATTTGATTAAATTACAGAAATATAATATATAACTGTACAACTTCAGACTAGAGGTAGATCGATATTGGGCTTATTCTATTGTTGATGCCAACATGTAGGAGACATGGTCAGCCAATGGCTGATGTATACTGCTGATATTTATGGGCCATCTTTCATGGCCAATATCGAGACATTTTCCACCTTATTTTCATGCTAAAACTTCACAAATAAAACCAGTTGATGCACAACATTCCTGAAGCTGAACCAGTTTTTGAACTCTGAATTTAACCAACTGTTAAATCTCAACTTTGTGCACTGCTCAGTGTTTAAGTCAGACACCTAAATAAAATTTATTTAGAGTGTTATTAGTGACAGTAAATTCAATTCAAATTCAATTCTGCAAAAGCACCAGGCTGCCCGAGGATGCGCCTGACTTTAAATCAACTTTACTATGAACATATATCGACCAATGCCGGTATATAAAAACCTGTAAATATCGGCCTGATAAATGGGTCTACTTCTACTTCAGACCGATAACTGATGCAGCAAAACAGAAAATCTCACTACTCGCCCTTAAAAATGAGGAAGGCTGTGTGAGGGAGGTCATCAAACCAGTGTTCACGGCTCCGTCGTGTCTAGAGCAACACATTTACAGCACATGCATGTAAATTCTGCCAGAGGGATACAAAATAAGCTGGCTTGTAACTTAGCAACACATACTTTAAACGGTTTACCTTCCATTTAAGGCCAATGACCTCATAAAACTTATAAAAGTCCTGAAGACTGAAACACAAGAGACTTCCTCTGAGTCTTGTTACAAAGATATAACAGTGAAATTCAATGCAGGATAAAAGAAACCCTAGAGGGAGTCGGCTACCTGAGCATCGGAGCTCCTGATGTGTTCAGGGCTTTAAAAGTGAGGAAGCGCTCTCTTGCAGACATGCGTGGTCTGTAAAAACGCATCAGACCGTCAAACTGTTTTAGGGACACACCCATCGGCCTCTGGAGGAATCATCACATAAAATGTATCATAAAGTCTGAGAACGCCATTAAATCAAATATTTGCACAAATACAGACACACACACACCTGTCGGCTGACCAACAGCTGGAAGGCGTGGTCAATAGCAGAGCGTTTGTGCAGCAAAAGAGACTTAAACTTCATCTTCTCAACGTCGTTAAACGTATCAAACACCACCGCCAGGAGCTGAAGGAAAACATGGCAACTGTGATGAAATCATGCTAAATGGACTCTAAGCTAAGTTTATTGTAGAGGTGGTGGAAACAGAGTTATTAATACCAGGTTCATGATGAAGTAGAGCTCTATGGAGAGGTAAACTATGAAGAAAACACAAGACCAGCGGTTCTTGGCGTACGCTGGCATCATCACATCAGGGAAACTACGAGACAGAGAAGCAAGAGATGGATGAGTCACAGAAAAGAGAAAGAAAGGCCAGAATATTTATGAGAAAAAGGATGTGCGATGTGCTCTGAAAGTAGGAACTAGCGGGTGAGCGCCGTGCGTGTAACAGTAACTCGGTAGTATCGTGCTGCCAGGCTTACTTTGCTGTGGTCAGCAGCACGAACAGGCTGACGAGGCTGTCCTCAAGAGTTTTGAAGAACTGCGGTGAGAAGACATGGTCAGGCATGAGGACATCTACCAAGACAACAGAGAAGAGGAGGTTTCCTCCACGCTGTCATGACAAATATAAAGTACAGTCAACGTACCGGGTCGGCAGAATTTGTAGAAAAGAGGCAGAAACCTGGAGAGCGAACACACACACACACACACACACACACACTGAGTTACTGCAGCCACGCCACTAATGGGTCCTGCTCTACACACTCCAGTTAATAAAACGTGTTGGTGAAAACATACATCAGCATTTGGATGATTGAAATCAACACATTCTTACCCAAAATGGCAAAAATAACCATGAAGAAAAGCAGCAGGAGGAGTATGTCAATAAAAGATGGAAGGGACTGGAAGATCTGACGCAAGTTTCTGATTGGATCAAAGAAAGCTCGTTAGTAACATCTTAGAGGAGATCTGTTAGAAAAAAAACCACTAAGTTAAAAAATATATATATCCTCTACTTTATAATACCAACTAATGCCAGTCTGCAGCTGCAACAGTGTGGAATTGTTGCCATGGACACCAAATTTAACTGAAATTATGAGAAATGACTCTGTAATGTCGCCTTAATAGATGACCATTTAATTCCCTGGCTATGACCAGAGTGTGTGGTTGGGATCGTTACGGACCTCCGCACCGCCCCACAGTATCTACAGTCCACCAGGAATATGGGTCTGAGTGCTCGGGTCACTCGCAAGTGAGACGTTTGTCTGACCAGAACTACGATGGCCTCCACAAACTGCAGCAGCAACACGGAAGTCTGCACAAAACGAGAACAGGAAACACCGGACGTCAAAGTTTGCTCCCAGATAGTGACAAAAAGGCCACTCTGAGGCCACTGTGCAATGAATTAATTCCTATTCCAGCAAAAATAACGGTTTACCTTCACCATCGTCCTCCTGTGTCGGATGAACGTGTGGAAGCCGAGCCAGCGGAGTTTCATGCAGAGCTCAAAACCCACCAGAGTCAAAGCCAGGAGCTCCAGAGTGGCATGAATCTGCAGAGGTAACAGATACAAAAGCCCTGCATTTGTTTATTTATGTATAGACTGGTATTATAAGCTCATGGGTGGATGTTGGGTTCAAATCAGAACAAACATCTTAGAGTTTGTTCATTTATTGGAGTTGATCTTTGTCAAAGTAAATTAAGTTCTTAAATTTCTGCTGAGATTGAGACTCGTCTGAATTAAGATGGATCAGCTGGCCCCTCAAACACCTACAGTGACCAGGAAATGCAGACCATACAGAAGACCATCACTAGTTTATCCATCCTGCTCATCAGCACCCCAGCAGAAAGGGTCGAACTCTGGGAACCGGTGATGGTTGTACCCTTTGTGCAGCAGTACCGGGACCAGAGTGGATAGGGTGTGTATGGGGAGCATGAGTGGGTGTCCGGCGTGCATTTTTATAAGCCTTTGGTTGTATGTGTATGTGTGAGCATGAGGGAGTGAGTGTGTGACTGTGTTTGTGTATGACTGTATATGTCAGGTGGGGCCTTTGACTCCTCCCCTCTCCTGTGACTTCTTTTGAAGATCTTCCCCTCTCCTCCCCCCGCCACACCTGGTGTGGAGTGCAGTGCCTTGGTCTGCCTGACCGCTCGTGACTCCATGGTCAGGGGGTTTAAGATTTTTGGCATCTGCCTGATCAATCCCGGTGGCTGTCTGGTGGGGTCTGGGTCCCTGGGCTCTGCTGGGTCCCCGGTGGGGGTGGTCGCCCCTGGGTCCCGGGTCGCTGAGTTCCGGGCTTGGCCGGCTAGGGGGTGGGAAGCTGCGAGCGGGCCTGTGGGCTTGCCGCTGATATCTCCCGGGACTCTGCCGGCTGCTGGTTGTGGCCCTCTAGGGCGATCCTTTGCGCTACTCGAGGGTGGCAGGGGCTTTTCTGGTCGCAGTCTCCTTGGGGTCCCTGTGCTCTGGGGCAGCTCCTGGATCTCTTGGACTTGGAGCTCCCTCCATCTCCTACGCATCTTTGGGGGGCAGATCTGTGGCCCCTCACACTCTCTACTGTACGCTCCTATAGAGAAACCTTACATAAACAAGCGCGTGTACACACACAGGTGCTCACAAGGTGCTCTCATAAGTATGGACTTGGGCACGTTCAAGACATGTCTTAAGGCTGTGGTTGGCACTAAATGCACTGTGATTTATTATCGTGTGATTGCTCAGTAAAACAATGTTGATTTTATATTTCTTCATCAAGTTGACGCAGTGATAGCTTGCTCCTGTTGTGTGTCACTTTTCTGCAGGTCTAGAGGTCTATAAGCAGACTCTTGTTCATCTTTGATTGTTTATTTTTGTGGAACCCCCCCCATTCTCGACCAGCACTCTTATTTTAAAGATGACTCACGTAGACATCCAGGCGCAGCGTGGGGACGGCAGGAGCCTCGCACAGCGAAAGCATCAGCAGCATCAGGCCTGTCACCAGCTCCATCATGTAGAACAGGTGGTTGTGGGCAAACAGGTACGCCGCGAGAGCCTTGGGGTTCCGCGGGTGCGTGAAGAACTTGTCATTGTTCTCTCCTTCCTGTGAATCAAACTCAACAATGATCGTGTGAAAGGTGAACATGATAACCATGAAAGGTTCTGTAACTACCTGCAGATATATAGCTGCTTCCTGGTAGTTCATCTCCCAGCTTTGCCTCAATGAGGCATTTTGGGTTCTGGAGTTTTGTGGCCCGGGGGTTGAAACCACAGCGTTGTTAACGATGTCATAATTACCTCCTCCATCTAAAAGGGAGGGGAAAAACACTTTATAGAGTGTTTATACAGTCATTGTTTATGCAGTTAGATCACACACACACACAGAGAGAGAGAGAAAGAAGGTTCCTACCACCACTGTCTAGCTCTAACTGTAAGGAATATGAGGAAATCATTACTGGGCTCTCGTTACAGGACTGATGGTCATGGAAACCAGTCGGTGGGCTGCAGGAGGTCTCCATTGATCACAATTGTTCCGCGCGCCTCAGCTGTGTGAAAGTATCAAGGTCCCTGATGCTCACACACCACCAGAGGTGTGTGTGTGTCTTTCACAGTGCACTGCTCTCTTTGCAACATTCACACACATCTGGAGACACAGATGGGAAAACATTCCACTCAGGCCTGATGGGAACACCAGAGACAGAGTCACGAGGGCAGTCCAGATACGGTCCACACAGATACGGATGTCTCAGCGGTTAAAAAAGAAAATAAAAAGATTTGATAAGAGGCGTTATTGTCAATGTCGACGTCATTGATGAAAGAACACTTTGACATTAGTCTCCTTCGCTATTTGGACTCTGGTCCTAACTCTATAATTTAGTAAGAAAGAGCTGTGTTTGTACGAAAGTTGCTTTTATGCGTCCTTCCTGTCAGACAGAATCCCCAAACTGGACCAAAAAACAAAAGAGGAAATAGTACAGAAACTAAAATTTAATTTAAAATAATAATGGAAAACACCAAAAATTCTAAAAACAAAGAGGAAAAACAAATAAAAGTAGGATCAGATTTAAATTACACAAAAGTTAGGAATTAAGTCAGTCAGTAGAAGCAATCCTATTCTTTTATGATTGCATTTTACAGAACCAGCTCTCAGTAAACAGCTCTAAAATAGTTGCTCTACTTGTCTCCTTGCAGCTTCACACTTGACTTCCTTGCAGATCCATCTGGTTGTTCATCCCACATAATATATCACATGTTTCGGCCTCAGGCTGACAGCTCCATGGACCCAAATTCAATAAAAGCCAGACGTGTCTCAGAGATGCAACCACAGATATGTGTTGTCCAAAGTTGCCTGCAGCCAATCAATATTACGTGTGAAGATCAAATCCTCTCCCAGCAGCAGCAGCAGCCTGCCCTGCTTTAACACGAGTTTGCTGAATGTCTCTCAAATCACCCATTTGTTTCAGAACAATAACAAGTCTGAAGCTCCCAGTGGATAACGCGGTGAGGTCATGCTCACAGATACGCAAACAGAGCCAGCATTAATGACTCCTGGTATGAAAAACTAAAAATACGTCTGTGATCACCAGCAATAAAACACCAAAACATCAAAATATAATGCTTCCTTTTCCCTCAGAGTTTAGTGTCCATTTGTTTCCAAAATGAAGAAGTAACAAAAATGTTCCAACACTTTTCATTTACAAACCACTCCCACATGTCCTTACAGCAAAAAACACACACAGTCTGCCACTGAGCACCAGGGAGGGGCTGAGAGGGGAGGGGTGTGTGTGTGGGCCTGCTGTACCAGCAGTTTCTCTCTCATTTTGGAGCAATATCTGAACAAAACAAGCAAAAGCATCAGGAAACACACACACACACACACACACACACACACACACACACACACACACACACACACACACACACACACAGATGTTTGTTTCTATTTAATAAGGCATTTCTGTGTATGTTGTATGTCTTCTGCTGAAGAGGTTTAAAGTTGGTTCAATTTTGAAGGTAATCAAAAATGTAAAAAACGTTTTTTTCAACAAATTTAAAGTTAATCCCAAAGGTCACCAGAGAAGTTAAAAGTAACCAACATCAAACGTGGCACAGGTAAAAAAGTTAATAAAGTGGTATCTAGGGAAATTTATTGATGTGTTTTAAATGCAGTGTTTGTATTAGCACTGAGCAATAAATAGAAAATTTCTCGTTATTGAATTTTCTGACTCTAATATGATTTTTTCCCATTTCAATAAATTTGGTAATAAAAAATGAAAAACTGTCCCTTTAAGAAGCTCTACCACCTCCAGTCACATGACAACATGACTCAACGTAATACACGTGATAGCCCCATCTAGTGGACAACTTTTGTTTTGTTCATTTGTGTAGGTATCGTTCATTTATTGTTACCGAGGTGAAATTCTCAATATACCCTGATATTGATGGTAGACCATCTCGGCCAGCAATCATTTTTTTAAATGAGAATTGACAAGCAAACTATTTTGTGTGGTGCAATTGAATCTTCGACTGCTGTTTTCGGCAGCAGTTTCTACCACCTTATTGTGTTGGAACAACTAGATTTTACGATATCACTTGGATGTAGTGTGGAAGTGTCTTAAAAATTGCAAATATTGTCAGGATTTTAGTATCAAAATATATCACATATTTCGTCTCCCCTGTATTTTGATGTATATCAGTTCTTTCCGGAACTGCGCTGCTCTGGGTGGCTGCATGTTGGAGTAGCTCTGTTGACTATATGTAAGTTTTGCCTTTTCTTGGACATTTTTTCTCCTAGTTTCTCAAGAAAAACTGTATTTTTTGGACACTTTACATTTCTGTTGCTGGTGCTGTGAAGCTTGGAGGATTTTTACTGCTAATTTTTTAGCCGTTTTCACTTTTTGAGCATTTGTTATGATGCATAACCATGGCAACAAGCTGGTTTACAATCGGGAGCAGCTGATTAACATCGGAAAGGCTGAAATAATACCTCAACTGAAGCCACAAATCCCAAATGAGCTAAAACACAAGAAGCGTGGGTGCAGAGCGGGAGGAAAACGGAGACAGACAAAGAGGAAATTCAAACCATCTCTTCCACTGATCACAATGGGCAATGTGAGATCGCTGGCCAAGGACTCAACCAGAGTTTCGGCAGTTTCAGAACCGCTGCAGGAGATAATGCAAAGAAGGATTCTCCAGAGAATCAAGAAAATGATGGACAACCCTGAGCATTCTCTTCACAAGACTGTCCGACAACGGAAGAGTGTCTTCAGTCAGAGGCTTCTTCAGTTTCGCTGCAACACTGACCGCTACAGGAGATCCTTCCTGCCAACAGCCATTGTAATATACAATAACTCTTTGATGACTTGATTATTATTATTCTGAGCTACTACAGCAATCAATTTCCGTCTGGGATTAATAAAGTATTTTTGAATTGAACTGAATCACCACTTTCTTGTCCATACACACCCAAGGAACTGGCGACATTGGATAAGTTAAATCAAAAATAATGCTGGAGTAAATATATTTTCTTTACATCCCAGCACTGAAAGGAAAACAATGATCTGCTGGTATAAAGCTGACAGTTTATTTTGTACATATAACCTTAAAGAGCAAGTCACCCCCTACCAGATTCTTACTCCACTACTGCCCGTTTGAAAAAAGCAACAAATGCTATTGCCTAGCAGACCGAGAGGGCGGAGTGGCTAACAAATACACACACACAGGCTCACAACGACATTGTGACATCATATGGTACCAGCTAACGTTCTAGGGTACCTCTTAGCCAATAGCGATGGCAGATTTAATTTCAAATGCAGTGCAGAGTTTTTACCTGACAATGGCACAACACTGACAGTTTTAGACAGAAAATTCAAAACTAAAATGCACTAAAGTGCTAAACTATTGTCTACACGTGTCTGTAGCACGATTAGACACGCCTCAGAAAATAAAAAGTTGATTTGGGGATGACTTGCTCTTTGATAAATGTCTATACACAATACTCATCATTAAACAAATCAAGCCTTCGTGAAGGCAGGGATTTTAAGAGGGCTTACTTTAGTACCACTTGATCTCTTTTCTCACAACAACTATGACAGTAAAGAGACCAGACTTACTTTGGTCTCCTCTCTCCGTTTCTTCAGTTAGCAGACCGCTGTTCGCTTCGTCCCAGGTTAAGATGAGAGGAACATCGTCGTCAGACTCCATTACTTTCCCAGATAAATAAAATTCAACCTGCCGTGAGTTTAGGCCTTCCGCTGGAGCTGTCTTAAGTTACAAGCTGGCTAAACGAGTCCACGATTAGTTTTGCAAACCGCAAAAAAACAACTACATCTTGTTAGTGCTAAAACTAAACAGTCGTTAGCTAACAAGCTAAATTCGCTTAGCTGATTCGCCGACTTAAATTTATGACTCAAAATTAGTCTATTTGGTTAAATAAGCAGTCAATGTATTAGAAGTTATGTGAGGCCGACATTAAATCGGTTGCTTTCCGATTGGGTCTTTGTCATGTCACCCAAGACATCTCTCACGGACTCACTGGTTAGCTAACAAGCCGGGGCTGTCTGAAGTGTGTCACTTAACGCCTAAATGTTTGCTCACGACGATTGGCCGGTTTCTTTTAACAAGAATAAGTTTAAAAACAAAATGTTATGCCTGGTTTAATCAGTTACATCTTTCAAATGATCAGCGACACCGAAAAATAATCTACAAACAGACTAACAACAAACGTTTACGACACTAAATTAATTTACGGCACCTTGGGGGATTTTCAAAATAAAAAATGGTTAATAAACTATTTCACACAGTTTAGTTTATCTTTTTTTTTCAGGGAGAAATAAAGAATGCTATATCTCACTTATTTTCTGTAAACAAATTCTAAGTAGTTCTAAAAGTAGTAAACAGCATTTTGGTTGCTATGACAGTGCATTGTTTGGTATCATAGCAACGCAACAACAACTGGGTCTACTTCAAGCAAATCGACTGGTATGCTTTCATTTTAATTTATATATGGTGAATTAATAATTAATCAAAAAATTACAAAGAAAACACATAAAATAAAATTGATTCGTCATGATGGTTGGTTCGTTGCTTTTCCTGATGTCTGCTGGTTTCAACAAGGACCATTTAGAAATAAATAAAACAGAAATCTACGAAGTAAAAGACAAAAGACTAAATCTTTACACTGTCAAAGAGAACTTGAGTGTTTTTAAAGTGATTTAAAAACAAAAAGTGGAGATGCATGTTTAAAATTCAAGTATAACTGGTGTAATTCATCATATTTATGAAGCTTAATTAGATGTTATGAGTCACACTTTTTATTCTTACCCCAACCTTAACTCAAAACATATTATTTACCCCTGTGTGATGTTTAAATGTGTTTTTTAGAGTATACTTTTGTAGCTCATTGCAGATAAGGAACATTTAAAAACTGAAAAGACTCTGTGGAGCTTCATTAAAGGCTTTAGCCTCATTCTAATTTAGTTAAGAAATTACTTCTGATCTCACAGCTCTCATGTTTTTCCTATTCTTTTTTTCTGTATTTCTGACACAAACATGCTCTCAAACTGTTCTCACCCTTCTTGTTCTGTAAAATCTATAGATAATGGCGAAGACAGGACAAAATGATGAGCAGGATAAAATGCTGGAGATGTCCAAACTGAACCAGGAAATTGGTCTGCTAAATAATCAGTTCAAAGATTTATTGTTTGAAAACAGAAAGAAGCAGAGAATGATCCAAGATGTAAGTTTAATACATTAATCACAATTTAGGGGCTCACTGTTTTAAGGGAATGTCACATTTTTTAACTTAAAACTAGTGTTGACTTTAAAGTTTTTTGTTGACAGGAAAATGAGGCCTTGGACAAGGCAATCGAAGACTTGCTGCAAACATTTGACCAAAGAGTTGAGGAACTGCAGGTATAAACTGATAAAAATCACTGCTATCAATTTTGACCTTTATTAAATCCTTTTGTAAGTATCACAGAGTTCTGACTTATCAGGCCAAGATTGTTTTTAATGACTAGTTGTTTGTTATTTTCCATTTCCATTCCAACAGAGAAATCTCTATTCATCATATTTTATTTAACTCATGCCATCTTGTCTCTCTATTCACCATCTTGTTTCATCTTCATCTTTAGACCAAGATTGAGTCGATGTCAATTGCTTATGAAAGCGAAACGGAGGAGTTGAGAAGGCTGGAGGGACTTTATCCTGAGCTGAAGCTAGATTATGACAAGGTCCTGGAGCAGCAAAAGTTAAAACAAAAGGAAAAGTCGAAGGTCGAAGCTGCCGTTATCATCCAAACCTGGTGGAGAGAGTGCTGTAAACAAAAAATAATAACAAAAACTAAAACGAATACAGCAGAAAACAAGAAGCCCAAAAAGGCCAAAACAATGAAGAAGTGAACTGTAGATCACTCTGGTTTACTAACAAGGTCTGTGGAGGTTGTGTGTTTTCTAGATGTGTGTAAGATGAATTTGGTAATCCACACCTTCAACTATGACATTTTGAAATTTGTGTCCATATTATTTGTAAAATTCCTATTTAATGGACAAGATTGGTTCATCTTTTTTTGATAGGTAGTTCTAATAAATGACCACAAGAAGGCAGTGTGGCTCCTTTAAATCTACCTTGCAGATGATGACAGAAGGGACTAAATAATGAATACACTAAGTTAAAGCATTTTTATCTAACATACTTACCAATAAAACTGCATTTATTATAATTTAATCCAGTTTAGTTGTGTAGCAGATTCAAAAACTACAGAAAAACCAAAGTGCTGTATGGTAAAAATGTAAAAAGGGTATAAAAACAGATAAAACTGCAACACAGAGGGAAAGAAAACTATCCATGAAAAACCAGATAAAATGAATAAATGAGACAGAATTCTACAAAGTAAAAGTTTAAAAGACTAAATCTTCATACATTAGAGAACTTATGTGTTTATAAAATAGATTTAAAAACAAGAAGTGAAGACGCATGTTTAAAACTCAAATGTAACTGGGTGTAATTCATTATGAAACCTATTCAATTAGATTTTATGAGTCACATTTATCATTCTATATATTACTTACCCACGTGTGATATTTCAATTTTGGTTAGGGTTGAATTTTTTAGCTCATTGCAAACAAGATCTCATCTCACCTTCCTCCGCTAATCCGGGGTCTGGGTTGTGGGGCTTCCCAGAAAATCCTCTCCCTGGCCAGGTCTGCCACCTCCTCAGCTGGGACACCCAGGTGTTCCCTGGCCAGCCTAGAGATGTATTTCCTCCAGGGAGTCCTGGGTCGACCCGGGGGCCTCCTGCCGTCAGGACGTGCCCAAAACCTCTCCCAAGGGAGGTGTCGAGGAAGAATACTGACCAGATGCCCAAACCACCTCAACTTGCTCCTTTCGATGCAGAGGAGCAACAGCTCCACTCTGAGTCCCTCCCTGATGTCTGAGTTCCTTACCCTATCCGTAAGGCTGAGTCACTCTGCGACGGAAACTCATTTCGATCGCTTGTGTCATTCCCTTACTCGTGAACAAGACCTGAGATACGTAAACTCCTCCACTTGGGGAGGGCCTCTCTCCCCACCGAGAGGGTTGGGGGTAAGTGCTCGGACTTGATTTTTACGAACTCTGGTGCACCACAGGGGACAGTTTTATCTCCTTTTTTATTTACACTGTACACAGCTGACTATAGGCACAGTTTACCATCTTGTCACTTACAGAAGTTCTCTGATGACACTGCCCTACTGGGCCTGATCTCCCGGGGTGACGACCTGGCTTACAGGGAGGAAGTTAACTCCTTTGTTGGATGGTGTGATGCAAATTTTCTACAACTCAATGTTGGCAAAACACAAGAGCTGGTTATTGATTTTAGAAAGAAAAAACAAACATTCTCTCCAGTGGTCATCAAAGGCCAACCTGTAGAAACTGTGGAGACATATAAATATCTAGGGGTGTACCTCGACGATAAGTTAAACTGGAAAAGGAACAGTGATGCTGTTGTTAAAAAGGCCCGGTCCAGATTGTTTTTTCTTAGGAAGCTATAAGATCCTTTGATATAAGTAGGAGGCTCTTGAATGTGTTTTATCAGGGGATTATGGCCAGTGTGTTGTTTTATGTTGTGTTGTGTTGTGTTGGGGCAGGAGCCTCACTGCTGAGGACAAAAACAGGATCAACAAAATGATCAAGAAATCTGGCTCAAAGGATCACCCCCTTCACCAGATTTTTAAGGATCTCGGGAGCTCTTTCAGTGGGCGAATGTTAATGCCCCAGTGCTCCACTGAACGTTTTAGGAACTCTTTTATTCCAGCTGTAGTGCGTTTTTACAATGAGCATTTCGTATGATTGTATATTTGATATTTTTATCATGATTGTGGCTTATAGCAGTGACCATTGAATGTTTTATTGTGTGGATGTGCATGTTGTGTTTACTTGTCCAAGGCAATTCAATTTCTCCCTTGGGGATTAATAAAGACAACCTTGAACCTTGAACCTTAAACCACCCTTTTCCGGTCAAAAACCATGGTCTCAGATATGGAGGTGCTGATCCTCATCCCAGCCGCTTCACACTTGGCTGCAAATCTCCCCAGCAAGAGCTGAAGGTCCGAGCTCAATGAAGCTAGGATCATCCGCAAAAAAGCAGAGATGACATTTTCCTGCCACCAAACTCGACACCCTCCACACCACGGCTGCACCTAGAAATCCTGTCCATAAGGATTATAAACAGGACCGGTGACAAAGGGCAGCCCTGGCAAAAGACCATCCCTCCCATAATCCTGGAGCGCCACCCACAGGGTGCCCCTGGAGACATGGTCATAAGCCTTTTACAAATCCACACAACACATGTGGATTGGTTGGGCAAACTTCCATGACCCCTCCATCACCCTAGCAAGGGTATAGAGCTGGTCCACAGTTCCACAACCAGGATGAAAACCACGTTGCTCCTCCTCAATCTGGGATTTAACTATCTACCAGATCCTCCTGTCCATTACCCTATAGTAGACCTTTCCAGGGAGGCTGAGGAATGTGATCCCCCTATAGTTGGAACACACCCTCTGGTACCCCTTCTTAAAAATGGGGACCACTACCCTGGTTTGCCACACCACAAGAACTGCCCCCGATGACCATGCAATGTTGCAGAGACGTGTCAACCACATTTTTATAACTTAATGAGTTTATTTTTTCTGATGTTAATCTATTTCTGTTTTGAGATTATTACGATTTTATGACTGTTTTATTTTGTTTAGATCAATGTGAAGCACTTTGTGATTCTATGTCTGTGATAAATGCTATATAAATAAAATTTACTTACTTACTTAATTACAACAGTACAACATCCAAAGCCATGAGATACCCAGGATGAATCTCGTCCACCCCAGGGGCTCCGCTGCTGTGCAGTTGTTTGACTACCTCAGCTACTTCTGCCCCAGAAATTGGACGGTCCGTTCCCTGGTCTCCCAGCTCTGGTTCCTCCTCAGAATATGCATCGGTGGGATTGAGGAGCTCCTCAAATTATTCCTTTCACCGTTTGCCAGAACCTCTTTGAAGCCGATCGATAGTTTTTTTCCATAGCCTCGCCAAACTCCTCCCATGCCCGAGCTTTTGCCTCAGAACTTGTCACTGCTGCACCTCGCTTGGCCATCCGGTACCTGTCTGCTGCTTCTGGAGACCCACAAAACAGCCATAACCTGTAGGCCTCCTACAACCTGACGGCTCTTCTAACCTCTGGTATCCACCAGCGGGTACAGGGGTTACCGCTACGACTGGCACCTGCCACCTTGCGACCACAGCTATCCTCAACAATCACAGAGCGGAACAGGGCCCATTCGGACTCAATGTCCCCTACTGCTTTTGGGACACGGTCAAAGCTCTGCCGTAGCTGGGAATTGAAGACCATCTTGACCAGTTCTTCTGCCAGGCGTTCCCAGCAAACCCTCACTATAAGTTTGGGTCTGCCAGGTCTGCACGGCATCCTACCCTGCCATCTGATCCAACTCATCACCAAGTAGTGATTAGTTTGACAAATCTGCTCCTCTCTTCACCCACATACAGCCGCAGGTCAGATGATACGACCACAAAGTCAGTCATCGACTTGTGACCTCGGTTGCCCTGGTATCAAGTATATCAATGGGCATCCTTATGTTCGAACATGGTGTTCGTTATGGCCAAACTGCAGTCCAATAACAAAACACCCTTCTGGTTCAGAGTGGGCGGGCCGTTCCCCCCAATCACGCCCTTCCAGGTCATGCTGTCATCGCCCACGTGAGCGTTGAAGTCCCCCAGCAAGACAGTGGAATCCCCAGTTGGAGCACCATCTAGAACTCCTCGCAGGGACTAAATAGGATGGGTACTCTGAACTGCTATTTGGTGCATAAGCACAAACAACAGTCAGGACTCGTTCTCCCACCTGAAGACACAGGGAACTACCTTCTCGTCCCCTGGAGTAAACCCCAACATATTGGCAGTGAGTCTTGGGGCTAACAAAAAGCCCTCTGCCTCTCACACAGATCAACTCCAGCAAAGAAGAGTGTCCAACCCCTCTCCAGGACTCGATTCAGGAGACAATGCTATGTCGAGGTAAGTCCAACTATATCTAGCCGGTGTCGCTCAACCTCTTCCACAAGCTCCAGCTCCTTCCCCGCCAGAGAGGTTACATTCCATGTCCCAAACGCCAGTTTTCTTGTCAGGGGATTAGACCGCCAAAGCTCCCGCCTCGGTCTGCCACCTAATCCACAATGCACCAGACCCTTCATATTCCTTCTGCAGATGGTGGGTCCACAGTTGGATGAGCCCATGTATCCGGTTTGGGCTGGGCCCAGCCAGGTCCCATGGGCAAAAGCCCAACCACTAGGCGCTCGCCCGTGGGCCCCAACCCCAGGCCTGGCTGCAGGGTAGGGCTCCAGTAACCCTCCGGGCCGGGTCCTCTGCCTCTTTGTTTTTTCCTCCATGAAAGGTCTTCTGAACCGTTCTTTGTCTCACCCTTCACCTAAGACCAATTTTTCATGGGAGACCTTACCAGGGCTCAGACAACAAAGCTCCTAGGATCATTAGGGCACACAAACTCCTCCACCACGATAAGGTGACAGAGTTCAAGGAGGAGCAAACAAGATCCACAAGATGAAATTTCATTTTTACACACTTGATTTACCGGATTTGGGTTTGATCTTCTGTTTGTAACACAGCATTCTCATTCTCTAATGCCGTTTATACTGTGACAGTTTTTCTGAGCAGTTACTGGGTAAAATGTTGCTGCATCTTCAAGTTATTATCTTCTGAACAAAAAAGGGTTTTCATTCTAAAAACATTGCTGGGTTCTTTATTTATTTTATTTCTTTATTTATTTTGAGCACAATTGGGTGAATTTACTAGATTGGTAAAATGCATTCATGCATTTCGTTCAGGCGATGCTGATTGCCTTTTTAGTTAATTAGATGAATAAGCATGTGTGAAGTGATGCTTTATACCTCATCCATCACAAGGGGCCATTTTACTCTGTTGGCTTCATTAGGATTGCTTTGCATATTGTTCATTTTGAGTCTCTTATGCAGCATTTGGTTAGTACTTTTGTCTAAGTTAACATTCTGAGTGCCTCTCCTCATAATGACATCTAAATTTTCGAAC